ACAACAAACAAAGAAACAAAGAAACAAACAAAAAAAAAAGAATAATTTTTACTGTAATTAGGCTGAATTCATTTGCTGGCAGCTTATTCTGAAATGAATGAATCCAATAAAAGGTGAGATGAATCCCTCCTCACACTCCAAATTTCTACATCTCCTGTGTGAAGTGTGTGGAATAAACTGTCCTCAGGCTGTACATCCACCACCTCGTACTCCTAATACACTGTTTCTCACACACAGACAAACACACACAGTCAAACACCTCTTTCTGCCCCCTGGCCCCTCTCAGTATTAACCAGCAGCCTCCTCGTGTCAGCTCAGTAACAGCAACGCAACAGGCCACTTACACTCTGTCCTATAAAGCTTGACAAGTTTATTGATCTTGGTTTAGTGAACAGACCACAGCTGGCCTGAAGGATGACGCCATCTGTCTGATCATGAATTACCGCTGAGCTGTAGTCATCTCTTATACAGTCGGGCCCACCACACTCTCTCTCTCTCTCTCTCTCCCTCTCTCTCTCTCTCTCTCTCTCTCTCTCTCTCTCTCTCTCTCTGTCTGTCTGTTTCCACCTTTGAGGATGGAGTCCATCATCTCACACCCACACACACAAACATGCACTTTTTACCTTCATGTGATATCAGTCCCCAAGGAATCTCCGCATCAAGCCGCACATCTGCTCCCCAGCTTCTCCTAAATCCTGTTTACCTCTCATACACTGCAGTCGTCACACATATATAGACAAACACACACACACACACACACACTGGAGTCGAAACCCTGTTTACCTCTGGTGCGGTGTCCTCCCTGCTGCAGTGTGCTACAGGTCAGTGGACTCATCAGACTTGGTGTCAAGCTAAATGTGAAGAGGAGATAGAGGTGGACTGTGAAATAGAGGAGAGGACTGGACTGTATGTGGTGACTTTGGATTTAAAATCACCCATAAATCCACTTGGCTTAAATTCTTTATAAGGCTGGTGAGGAGATGATGAGTTGTGTTATGCAATAAAGAGGAGTGGATTTACTTTAAAGTGGGCTGTTGGATAGAATTATGCTGTGTGATGATCAGATAAGTCAAAACTACTTGAAAATGGGCTGCTGGTTTAAAGAAAGCAGCAGCTACTTTTTCACTTCTGCTGTGTGTTTAGGAGAGAGGAGGGGGACGTCCGTCTCTCTTTTCTTTTGTGCATGTTTTGCTTCCATCACTGTATCACCAAGCATCCAGCCTCAGGCCACCCTGAGGTAGCCAGGATGTCAGGATGAGAAATGTAGACAATCGGTTTTGAGCGATGGGTGCTATCAATTTGGTTTTATTATGATTTGCATGTCAGCGAAGAATGACTGCAAATGGACTATAATTGACCTCCAAAGTAAGATGCAAATGTGGGTCATAGAAATTTTCTGGACAACAACGGCCAACCACTTTGGGTTTTATTAAACCTTATGTTAAACTTTATGTTTTTGTTTCATTTAGATTTTTTGTGGTTGCACTATTTTCAGTTACACAAGCAGTATGTGTCTCTAGGAATATCAATGAAATAACTCAGCAACTATTAAATAGATTGGTCTGAAACATTGTACACACACTCACGCCCCCTCTCAGGATGACTTGTAATAACTCTGGTGAACCCTGATTTTCCTCTCTTGGCATCATCAACTCAGATTTACAATATCTTTTTGTTTGGTTTGTGACCAAATACTTGCAAAACTGAACCAACAAAATTCCTATCAGCCTCAGCTGTACTTTCATTTTCAGTGCTAATTAGCAAATGTTTGCATGCTAAGAGGTTAAACTAACATGATGAACATTACCGTGCTAAACATCAGCATGTTAGCATTGATAGCATGTCAGCATCCTGGCATTAGTATTTATTTAAAAAGCATCACTGGGCCTGCGTATGCCTCTCAGAGCTGCTGCTGTAAACTCTGAGTCCTGTTATTTATTGTGTCTTTATTGTTAAATGTCTTTTAGCAACTAAATCCTTTAGTCTAAGACATTTCCAGGACATTTTTTCTCCTAAGGGAGGCGACAATGTAACATTGACATTGATGACAGATTGTAAATTGGACATTTATTGAGCCTAAAAATGCAAATGTGGATCTTACAATCACGTCTGAGTAAATTTATGTACAATATCAGTCAATGTAGTATTGTGTTGCCACATTAGTTTCACTTATGTTTACACTGATTTTTTTGAGGGGAAATACGTGTACATGTAGGGAACTGATAATGTGCTGCTATGAACTGATGTAAAACTACATAGATATCACATGAAGATGGTGAAGGGCAGCAGCCCGGGGAAACTGGAGATATTCATAAAGTGCAAATGTTGATTTAGATGATCCAAAGCCATCAGTGAGTATAAATGAGGTTATTTTAGTGTATCTTAATATTTGAAAAGGACCAATGAAAATAAAGGTTTGTTCAAAGACCCAAGTGTCTGAAGTAGTAGTCTATAGTAAGTAAGGAAATAACTGATAGTCTGTGTTGCCTATGAAAATCAGTACAAAGTACATATTAGACAATTACAAAGTACATGTAGTTGCGATGTGAGATGTGTGATGCTCCATGCACACAGTTCCAATCTCATATTTTCCGGCCTGATAAAACACCTGCAGGTGAGACCCTGTTATACTGTTGTTCTCATCAAAAGACAGCTTATTAAACTGTAGAAATGTACCATCATCATTTTGTCTGGTGATCCTCTGTTCACTTCACCGCACTTTCTGAGGCTGAGCAGAGGGTTTCTCTTGTCCAGAGACTGTTTTTTTGGTTTTTGGTGAATGACTCTAAGAGCGAGCTCTAACAACAGCGCTTCCCCTTCGCTGCTGTGAAGAGATGTTCTCTCATGTTTCCACTGATGATGTTCAGTAACGTGCTCTGACAGAGTGATAGGAGACCTCTGGATTGTGTGACAGTGATCATCTGTGGTGTTTGGAGACCAGAGGAATTCATTTACGCTCCATTCATTCTGGCATCATTTGACCACAGTGCTGTTATCTCATTGTCAACAATATCAGATGGATGTTATTGACAATAACCCACTGCCTGCTTTATCTCACAGAATGGACCGCTGAACCTGAGGAGAGCACACTCCACATGTCAACACTGTCGCTCACTCTCTCTACTCTCCTTGACTTTTTTTTAATCTATTGTTGCTGTTTCCTCTTTTCCATCTTTCTTTTAAACTCTAATCCCTCACACTCATCCTCTGGCGCACTCCTCTCCGATGCTTCGCCTCTTATCCTTTTGTTTTACCTCTCGTCACTGTTCATCCCCTTTCTTCTTCTCCCCACCCTCCATCTCTCTCCTGATGCTCTTTCAAGGGATAAACACTTGGATGTGCTTGGCTGTTGTTACTTCTTTTACAGTGATTGAGTGTCTTTCTTTAGATTTTCATTATTCACGTTCCACCCCCACTGTGTGCTTTCATTTCTTTGTAAACTTTGTCCGCCCACAGCCGCCGGTATGTTTATAACCTAAAATTAAATTTCCTCTTGGCAGTAATTTTCCAAGCATATGGGGGGAAGCAGCCCTGTGTATTCTTGAAACACTTAGACCAAATGGATCCTGTTTCTCCTTCCATCAGTTAAACACCAATTATACATGTGTGCTGTTGGCTACGAAAACATATCTATTATCTTTCGGTGGTATTATGACATTATGTAAGTTTTAATGATATGATACAAGGCATTTTTGTGGCTCTATAGGAACGTCAGTGAGTCCACCACTCACCACCATTCAGACTGAATTGTCTTAACAGCTACTGGATGGATTGTCATCTAAATTTGTACAGACATTTATGGTCCCCAGATTAAGAAGCCCTACTGACTTTGGTGATCCTTTAACTTTCCATGTAGCATTCTTGTCTCCTGGTGGTCAGCCTCCTCCTAAGGGTCTGGAGCATGACCACTGTATTACTGCACAGTAACAATGCAAAACCAAACCAAGCCAAACCAAACGCATCCCATCTACCCAGTGCTGCGCATATGTATCACTGGACTATAACAAAACAAAGAAACAAACCAAACACACACTTCCACCTCCCCAGTACTGCCCCACCCCCAACCAACCTGTTTTTGCCTACGCCCTAAAAAACCATCAATACCTCTCTCTCCCTCTCAATAAATCAAAATATGAATCTGTAACAATAAGAAAAAGCAGTCAGTTGTTTTGTCCTTCTGTAGTATTGCATGTCTGTTACGTTATGTCATGTCATGCTATAATATGCTAGGTTATGTTCTGTAAAACTTTTCCAAGTTGCACCCTCACCAAATAAACCCCATACTGTGGTTCATGACCAGATTCCCACCAGCCTCTCTTGCACTTGTTGAAATGTTAGCATGCTAGCACACTAAAGCAAGATGGTGAACATTTTAAAGATTTTCCTGCCAACCATCAATATCCTAGTGTTGTCACTGTGAGCATGTGAGCATGCTGACGTTAGCATTTAGCTGGGTCTTTGTACAACCTTACACAGCTGCAAGCATGACTGTAGGCTGACCTCAGTCTTTCCCACATTACCAGCTCCTACAACAATGCAGGCTACACTACCAAAACTTGCATATGTGTATGTTTGTGTGTCCAAAGGTGTGAACCAACCTGCATCCAGAACTTTGTGAGGTGTCGTATATCGTGGGAGAGACGTGGTGACGGAGTGTTTGTGCTTTTGTGTATGTGTGTTAAACGTCAGTGTTTTCTGCAATTTACTGTGAGTGTGTGAGAACTGAGAGTTTGATACTCCTTTATATATGTTATAAATCTTTAAAGCTTCTGGTCCACACACACACACACACACACACACACACACACACACACACACACACAATATAGTGCCTTTGAACAGAGCACCAATGGAACAATGCTCTCTGTGGTTGTCATGGCAGTGACAGATGTGACAGCTGGAGGGAGGACTTTCAGGGAGTATTATGGGGTGTTTATAATTGTTGTGTGACAAGTAGAGCGTCACCTAATCTTCCGTCTGTTTACTGTTTGTTTCTTCAGACCTACGTCCTGGGAATCATCATCGCTATATGTGGGAATGTCCTCATCAGCATCTCACTCAACATACAGGTAAGAGGCGCTGGTATCCAGGTGTGCAGCAGGCGCTCAGCACACAGCGGGCACTTGACGCCTATAAAGACTCAGTTTTACGCTCTCGGAGTTTTGCTACACTGCTTTTCTCCTGACAGTTTGCTCTCTCTTTAGCAAACTCTGGATGTGTTCATCAGGACTTTAGTGAATGTACACTGAGGCACTGACTGTGTGATCTGCTGACACATTCACAGCAGGCTTTACGCAGCAGATGGCAGAAATGTGCTCTGCCTTTCATTCTAATAAAGCCTATTTTAATTCAAATGAACAAAAGTGAATGTTTAAACATCATGAATATATTTCAATTTAACACAATACACTTGTCCAATTATAAATTCAAACAACACATTTTTAGCACTTTGTATCTGCACCTGTTTATCATACTAATTATGGTCTATCAGTGTATATACACCCCAGATGCCGTACGAGCGCTATTTCAAGTGGAGTGTTTGAGCTACATGCTGTTAAATAATCAATCCGAGTCATTAAGAGAATGTGTGTAATTCATTAACCACCAGCATACACATACTCTCTTGCATTTACCAGCCTGAGAGGCTTTAGAGACTGTGGTCTAAAAACATACCTGCCTAACATGAGCATCAGTGATTCACCAGAATTATGTGTGGAGCTAAATTACACTGTCAGAAAACGCAGCAGCAGGTGCAGTAACTGGGGCTTTAGTGGCAGCAACATGCAGACAGACTGAGAGGGCGAGACAGCCTCAAGCAAATGTGAAAACGTGTTGGAAAATACTGATGTTTTACGAGGCTGTGTGAGCTCACAGACATGGAACTGGTAACGATTAGGAAGTATACATTTGCGTTTGCCTTGTACAGCTTCCCACCTCATTGATTTGCTTAAGTGGAGCCACGCCTCTTCTGAGATTAAATGCTAATCAGCAGAGTGTTATGGTGTGTTTAAAATTGTGCAACAGCCATTGTAATGCTTTATTATCTTTTAAATTGCTTATTTTTCCAGCTCTGTGTATTTGTCTCCCTGACAGAAATATGCCCACGTCCGTCAGTCTCAGCGTGGCTCCAAGCCCTACTACACCTCCCTGACGTGGTGGTGCGGTGTGGTTCTCATGGGCATCGGGGAACTGGGGAACTTTGCTGCCTATGGCTTTGCCCCAGCATCGCTCATAGCCCCTCTGGGCTGTGTGTCTGTCATAGGTAAGGGCTACCCCTCTTTTCTCTCATACATTATCCCTGCATGAAGGCAGGATGAAAGGTTGTTTCCTTGGGGAATGACAGACGGTGTTGCCATGTGAAGTGTGCTCTTTTTCTCCTGATCCTGTCATAAACAGGCCTCTTCATGCCAGGTGTTTAATTTAAGTGCTGAAAAACTGACTGGTTTTACTTTGGAGTGTGAGATCTGAAAAAAAAAAGAAACTCTCACTCAAATGTGTTATGGGTGCAACTGCAGAATGGGAGTTGTACAGTGCAGATACTATACATTTCTTAAGATCAGGAAATGACAGTAACAGGTTTTTATAGATATTGTTACTCCTAAGAGTAGCAGGGGGCGTTGTTGCGGTCTGAAGCTTTCAGTTTCACTTAAAACTCTCATCAGGGTTTCAATCATATTCCTTTCATATTTGAGGCAGCAGTCTGTCTTGGTGTTATTGGGAGATTTTCTGAATACAGTTTTGTAATGATCCTTTCTGTAATCTTTATTGGAAATGTATTCCGTATCAATGCCATAAAAATACATACTGATATCTATATCTACAGTTTACTGGAAAAATAAATCCTGAAAAGATCTCTCAAAATCAGGAAGGCTCTAACCCAACAGGTTTGTTAGTCACAAAATGGAATCTATTGATTTGTGTACATGGACACAAATTTTTCAATTTTTTCATGACACTCGATTTTCACACGTATAGTACTGGCGGGCGCACAAACCACAGGACCCGGGTTTCACACCCAGAGTCGCATCCAGATCCTGTGTTCAGGTTTAGGCAACAAAAGCACTTTGGTTAAAGTTGGGAAAAGATGGTGGTTTTGGTTAAATTGAAACAAACACGTTGTGTTTGAAGTCACCGTGAACATTTTCTGTATTAAACCAGACTAGGATCTTTCCCTGGCCTTAACCAAGTGCTGTGAGGGGTTAAACACAACCATAAAGAAGTTTAATGATGCTGTAGTCACAACAAGTCGATATTTTACTGACGGAAAAGGAAAAGAAAAGGAACATGTGTGTCCGTGTACACAATTCAATACATTGCATTGAAGAACTGCCATGTGACTGGATTGGTTTATAACAATATGGGATTGCAAAAAGATATCCTACTAATGAGTTCATGTCCAGATTAAGTGAACATAAGTGAATTAAGTGAAACTGATAAAATGAAGCATGCTGTTGAATTAGACTTCTGGAATAAAGTTATTATTAATGGTAGTTGATTTGCCAAAATCAACAGTTGGGTACATTCTAATAAAAAAGCAGGTTTGGCTAGAAAATCATTTGCCTGGTGAAGAAAAACCTCTTTATGACTGTACAGCAAGTTAAGATGTTTTCCAGGACATGGGCAGACATGTTTCTTTGTCAATGTTAAAGAGAAGACTTCAACACAAGTTGCAAACTCCTGGTAAGCAACAACACTGAGGCCTGGTTGCAGGTTGCAAAAATTTACAAAAAGAAACTGGTGGAGTTCTGCAACAAAGTTTAATGGAAACAAAAATCAACCTCTATCAAAATGATGGAAAGACGAAAGTTTGGAGAAAAAAACAAACAAATAGTTAATGACCCAAACTACCGCACCTCATCTGTCAAACACGGTGGTGGTTCTGTTGTGGCTCAGGTGGAACTGGCACACTGGCATTTATTAATCACATACAGAAGCAGCAGGATGAATGCAGAGGTATACAGGAGAAGTGCGTGTGTGTGTCCAGATTCAGCCAAATGCATCCAAACTCGTTAGACATCGAACATTTTATCATTCAGCAGAACAACGATCTGACACATGAATCAACCAGCAATCAACCAAAGAGTTTTTCAGGGTGAAGAGCTGCAACATCCTTGACTGGCTAGAGAGCATCACCAGGGAAGATACAAAGTGTGGACAATGACAATGGGTCAAGTCACTGACTGCAAAGGCTTTTCCACAGAATCTAAAATATGATGATTTAGTTCAATTTCATGTGTATCTGTTACTTTTGAACCCCGAAACTCTGGGCACAATCTCCTGCGCAGTTCTTACTCTGTTGGTGTATTGGATCAAATTAAAGTTGAGAATTGACATTTTGATGTTGTATCCATTATTTTATTTCAAATTGAATGCTACCTTTTTGGCTTGTGACCCCTAAACCAACAAATTGTCTACCTCTGTTGATCTTGAGTCTTCCAGTTGAATATGTTTACCAGATTGAACAAAGACATATTTAGAGGCCCAAATATGTAAAACCATTTAGTAATTTAAAAGCAAATTTTAAAGGAACACCTAAAGAAATAATGTTAAGTAATGTTATAAATGTTAATCATTTTATGGCCCTTAGAAAGGTGCTGACCCGCAGATTAGGAACCACTGAACAATATACAATGTACAACAATATATATATATATATATATATATAATACATATACATATATATTATATATAAGATATATTATTATATATATATATATATATGATCAAAATAGATATTGGGACATCCTACTTCTTAAAGGCGAATTTGCCATCAGCAAATAGAAGCCCTCCTTGAACAGGACCTGAAATTGTTTACATGACGTTGGGAGCATTAGGTGTTGACGTGATGTGTTCATGTTCTATCTCTGTCACAACAGCAGCCTCAGTGATGCAGTTGAGTAATCCCCTGGCACACCTGCTATTAGCTGTGTCTCCCTGACACCTCTGCCTGCTCCTGAATTAAATGAAACTGAAAGCTTGACACTGCAACAACGCCTCTGTCTGTTTTTGGTGTAACTCTGCCCTCAGATGTTGTTTAAAGATATGGACACAACACGGGTTTAAAAGCACAGGGACGTGGGAATGGACTACATTAATGAAGTTCTGTATCTGGTAATACTGTTTCCATCCCGTGCATCACAGCTACACATCTACCCGCTGACAGGTCTTCACCTTATTCAGTGGAGTCTCTCACGCTCGCAGAAACATGCTTTAAAAAAGATTTCCCACTGTTGCTTTGAGAATACGGTAAACAAATCTGATACCAGACGAAGACCTTATGATCACAGCGGGTCAGTGCCAGTGCAGGAAGTGTTTTCATCTATTCTTCCAATTCCTAGTTTCGTGGACCCAGAGGATGATCTCCATCTCTGTTCTTCAAATTTTATAGTTGATTCACGAGGTCCACTTCCTCCTGACATTGTGAATACAACAGTCAGTCGGAATTAAAGCTGCCGTGAACTAAGCTGGATTCATTAGCCAATCAAAACAAAGCCTGCCTGGTTGCTACAGCTGGCAGCTGCTCAGTGCAAACACTCTAAACACAGGTTAAATATTGAACAGGTTTACTTCTAACCTCCCGCCACACATCACTCACTGCGCTGGAGGTGGTGGTGAGTCATGGATATTAATGAGAGCTATTACCCCAACGCTTTAAACGATTTTCCTATAGTGATGTCTCTTAAGTGGATGAATGGTTCGAATAAAGCAGTGAACCAAACTGCAAATCATGTTAAGAAGGCTGCGCCTCTGTTGTTGTACTTGTTTCAGTGAGCAGTTTACTTTATAAAACGCTTCTATCACAATAACAGGATTCAGCACTGTGTTCTATTGAAAGCAGTAACCTCTCAACGCTGTGTCAGTGTGTCTAAGGCTGACATTATAATGACTCTCTTTAAAGCCACAGGTATTAACAATTACTCCGCTCATTTCCATTTTACTATCATTATTATCCTTATAAAAACCACTGACAGCTAGAGGCTTGTGTTGAATTGGAGTGTGCAAGAATAATATGCAGCTCAAATGTGCTGAAGGAGAGTCTTGAAGAATTAATGAAGCCAGAGATGAAGAGGTGATAGGGCGGGAGAGGAAGGTAAAGGAGAGGAAGATGTCTGCGGCCATGACACGGTCTGTCATCCTCCGAGCTAATAAGTGGAGTTGAGGGGGGAAATGTGCAGGTTGCTGTCTGTCATCGAGACTCCACCTCTCACCTCATGCTGAGTCACATTGTACGCAAATGTGAAAACACAACGCGCACACACAAAGAGTGCATAACGTAGTAGTGGTGTGCAAAAACAGCCGTGTCGAACACACACACACACACACACACACACACACCCCTCCTGCGGCGTTGTTGTGCCTGTTTTCCAAGAGCTGTGTGAAGGCTCTTCGGGTGGGGGTGGGGGCGATGGTGGGTGGGTAGACAGCAGGAGGCCTTGGGTGAGTAAATATGATGTGGGTTGAAGTGGTAGGGTGGTGTGAAGAGAGGAGGAAAAAGGAGGTTGGATGCTGAAAGGACAAGAGGTTGAGGTGAGAGGAGAGGAGAGGAGAGAGGATCTGAATGAAATGAGACAACGGGGAGAGACATATACAGAGTGGAAAGCAGGAGCAGAGGAGGGAAGGGACAGGATCGGGGAGAGCTGACGATGATGCTGCCGTCCCCCTGTCCCTGCATGTCACGCTGGCACCCCGACGCTCCGTGGAGAGCAATTACTACTGTCCCCGTCCACAGAGCACATCGGCCTCTATTAGGGATGACAGCATCATCCCAGATGCTGTTGTATAGAGCAGAGAATCACCTCTCCCATTAGATACCATGTCATCACATGCAAAAGAGGATGGAGGCTGGCATGGTGAAAAAAAACAGACAAACTAGATTCACACACTGCATCAGCATCACTCGCAGATGTCAGACCTGTGTGAAGCCAGTTCCAATACATCTTAGGTTTTAATTCAAATAGGTAAATTGGAAAATCCTTAAAACAAGAAGCCATACCGTGGTGGTTATGGTTGAATTTCACAAAGCAGACTAGGACTATAAATTTTAAACATCTAATACATCTCAAAGCTCCTGTACAGCACGTCACTACAGCTTGTCAGTTGTGACATTGTGAACATACAATATGTGCAACATGATAATGGTTCTTACTTTTGAGTTTCTCTGGGAGATGACAACCAGACTCTCTGCTTTGATCTGTTCATGTCTGAAAGAATGTTTGACACGGTGTGTTTCCCCACAGAGAAGTGCCCATTACTACACAACTGACAAAGAGCACGTAGAGGGGCAGCGCTGATCTTCTGCACACACACACACACACACACACACACACACACACACACACACACACACACACACACCTCCATAAACACGCAGGGGCAGTGACAGAGCTGCGTACCCCAGAGGTTCCTGTTGCCACATTTCTCATTTTATCAAGCCGTGTGAATATGACTTTGTATGAAGTTGCTATGGTTACTTGTTAGATCCAGCCGGTCCCAGAGGCGAAGGCGAGTCCTAAGTGTGTATACGAACATGCTCGCAGTATGAAATATTTAACGACTCCTGTTTCATCAGAATACCAACGAGAGTCTTTATAAACTTCCAGTTTGACTGTAACATCCCTGCGGCATCATGCACATCCATGTGTCCTCTGTCCTCTGAAAGACTCTCCAGCAGCATCATGTTGTATATAGTCACAGTCACTGAGCATAATGGTTTATAGTAAAGCTTTTCACGGCTTGGCTTTATTAGCTTTAGAGTCAGTGTTCAACATCCTGAGAGCCTGTCTGTCATGCCACCTCGGCGCTGTGACTCTGTGTGTCTCTGACATATCGAGCTGTTTATGCTCTGCGGCTAATCTCCTTATGATGATGCCAGAGTCTCCACACAAACTCAAACTGCCTGTCTGTTTCTTTTTAGTAATTTCCAGCGATTTCTCTGTTCAGTTAGACCTGCCTGTGTCTGAGTGCCATCGCCTGCACACCTGTCTGTCTCTCAGTCTGTCTGGCAGTCGAGTCCAGTATCTCCCAGCAAGCACAGCTGCTACATCTGGCTCTGCTGAGATACTGGTGGGACTGTATGACAACATAGCTCCAAAAATGATGCAAAATTTGCTTCTCTGTGATGTTGTTAAGTATTAACGACGTCCAACATGGCAGCCTCAGTGTAAACTGGCCTCCTCTCTGTGACAGGCTGCAGCCACTTGCATGTGTGTTTGCCGCCCCATCAGTCTGTCTGCTGCCTGTTGTCTTCTCGTTTGTTGTTCTGTCTCAGGCAGTTAGTCCACCTGTGTGGCCATCCATCTGTGTATCGGCCTGTTTATCAGCATGTCTGCATGTCTGCATGTCTGCGTCGCATATCTGCCTGTGTCGCCATCCGTCTCTGTGACAGCCAAATGCTGCATGTTTATTCGTCTCCCTCGGTTCGGCGCATATCCCAGGGAAACATTAAGAAGACTAATCTGAGGCTTAGCTCATGTGAAGCTGATTGCTTTTCAGCGTCACAGTTTTTGACAATGATATTGATGAATTGGTTCATGAAAAATGTGGCATGGAATAGCATTTTGCTGTAATTTGATGCTGATGTTATGAAGTCCTAATGAGCTCCATTTATCTTAGCACGCTGACAGATTATATTATACTGATCAATATATACATGTCAAGCTTTGTGTGTGTGTCAAGTTTATTTATGCGGACATACATTTATGTGACTATATATGACTGTGTGCACATGTGAGTGACAGAGTGTGTGTGTGTGTGTGTGTGTGTGTGTGTGTGTGTGTGTGTGTGTGTGTGTGTGTGTGCGTGTGTTTGTGTGTGTGTGTGTAGCTGCATATAATTTGTGTGTACCTTCAATATGATGTTCTCACATCGGTAAAATCTGATGACTCCTCATCCAATCAAAGTGAACATGTATAGAGCCAGCACCGTGTCTTTGTGTTTGCAACATTATAGATGTCATTTTTATTTTCATCAAGTCAAGACTCAGACCTTGCTTCTGATTAAACCAGAATATCAGGTTACAAAACATGGCTGAACACTAATTATGTTTTTTATCATCAGGAGATGAGCATTGATTCTGTTGTTACTGTGATGAACAGAGAGCAAATTGCTTTTACTCTGCAATTCAAATTATATTACATCAGGACTGTTTTAAATGAACCTTCTTACAGTGGATTCAGAAAGTATTCAGACCACTTGAATTTTTTTTTCACATTTTGATATGTTGAAAACGGAATTTTATAATTTTTTGCAAATATATTAAAAAGGAAAAACTGAAATATTACATAGACATAAGTATTCAGACCCTTTGCTATGACATTGAAATTTAGCTCAAGTGCCTCCTATTTCTGTTGATCATTTTTGAGATGTTTCTACACTCTCGTCCACCTGCGGTAAATACGGCTGATTGGACATGATTTGAAAAGGCACCTGTCTGTATAAGGTCTTCCATTTAAGAATTATGGAGGTGCTTTTGGGGAATTGTTTTTGTATCCTTCCACAGATCCTCACATCAGTCCCTCCCTCCTCATGGCTTGGTTCTGACATGTATTGTCAGCTGTGAGACGTTATATAGACAAGTGTCTGAATACTTATGTCAATGTGATATTTCAGTTTTTCCTTTTTAATAAATTTGAAAAAAAAATCTAAAATTCTGTTTAGGCTTTGTCATTATGGGGTGTTGAGTGTAGATTGATGATGTAAATTGAAGGGGTCTGAATACTTTCTGAACTGTATAACTGTGTTAGAGTTCAGATTTTATTAAGATGGACTGCAGCATGTCTTGATTGTCAGTGAAATTAACAGGAATATATTTTCACTTTGCAGCCAGTGCTGTCATCTCTGTGATCTTCCTCAAGGAGACGTTGCGGGCCTCTGACATTGTGGGTAAGTAAACACTCAGGATCATAGCACCCGAGGACCTTAGGTGTCCTCTCACTTTGCTGCTTTGACTTGAGAAGTTACATCCTCAGTTTAGAGATATCAAACTGATTCTGTACGGAAAAAAAAAAAAAATCCTGTTTGACTCCAATCTCAGTTTGTCTTAACTTCCTTGTATCTGGCAGTGGAAGAAAAGGCACAATCTATTCAACAGACCTATCTCATTATATTGTTTTATGAAAAGCTATTGTTTGTCAAAACAATTTGTAGAGTCTGCTGCTAAATGGCACGATTGTGATGGTCGCTACAATGATGATAATTACAACTGCTAGACTGGAAATTCATATCAGCATCACACACATCGCTGCATATTGTTGGTTTCCGGGATAAATCATCAACATGTTCTGCCAGTTTTGTTATTGTCTTGTAATTGCTGGGTGACATTATCAACCACATATTGGAAACATTTAATTGTATGAATGTTTTATTTATAAAGGGGGGGATTGCTGCGAGCAGGCAGTTCCCTGGTTGTAAAGGTTTATTCAAACCAGCAACAGAATTAAGAATCAAAATGACAAAGAAAAGATGAAAACTACACACCACAGCTTGTTGCCGACTTTCAATGAATAAGGTAAAATGCGAGTCCAAGAGTATCTCACATTTTTCTGCAGTGCAAAGAAACTACAAGCTGTTCATTCTTAAATCAGAGTTTCTAAAGACTGACTTTGAAGTAGTAAATGTTGTACGTTGTTCATGCCTGTAGAAAGGACATCTACATGATGTCCAGTGAATATGTTCCTCTAACATATGGTGTGATATCACTAATAATGAAATCAATGTTACTTTGATATAGGGGGAATGTCAGGGACATGACAGTCATGGACATGACAGTCATAAGTGGCAGAAATGTAGTAATAAAGTAGTTTTTTGACCTTTTTCAATTAAACACTTTATATTTCTAAAAAACATTTAATTTTAAATTGTATTTTATTTCTTTCTCATTTAATTAATAATATAGCCAGACATTTCTTGAAATTAAAAAAAAGACTAGAAAGCCACTTTAAACAATCACCTTCTTTATGATTATTTATCTATATATTTACTGTCCAGAGCTGTAAAATAGAAAAAAATAGGCAAGTTAAAATCATGTGAAACTTATAAGGTAGAAACAGGATGGTCACATTTACCAGCACCAATAGTTACAATGTAAGATGAGCCAGAGGGAAACTAATACAAAAACCATTTCACTACAGTCTCACCACTCCTGCTCTCCTGCTTTCTTCTATAGGTGGAACCCTGGCAATAACAGGAACATATCTCCTGGTGACCTTTGCCCCCCACACTTCCACACACATCACAGCCCATCTGGTCCAGTACTATATCGTCAGCTGGCACTTCCTGCTTTACCTTGTATGTAATTCCATAACGCTCTCAGTCTGAGTCCAGTAATACTGTGTCTAGTATGTGTAAGCATGTTTTCTTGGAACTACTGTTTCTGAGTCCAAATGCGTAACTGTATTAGGCTTTTAGCAGCTCACCACTGAAATGCTGTCAAATGCGTCACTGCAGCTCGTGTGCTGCAGTTAGGAAGCCCCATCCCCGCCTTTAGCTTCCCTGTAGAGAGGAGCAAGAGAAGGACCATTCTTAACTATATATCTTCAGTAAAAGAGTTGAAATACAGTTGATGAACTCAGAGAATGATGTAATCAATCCTTGCACCCATGACAGAGCTCGGGTATGTCTTGGTATTCTACCTCATATGGTTGAGCTCAGTCCTCTGTCCGTTAAAACTAAGATTGTCTGTTTTTTTCGCCAAAAAAAAAAACTGCCCCCACCTCATGGTCTGCAAGTGCATTAACACTCACCATGTGCTCTCCTACTCCAATTTTGCCTCAGGCAGGGATGGCATAAACATAGCCGTTACCATAGCGACCGATCTGGAACAAAGTACAGAGCTGAAACAAAGTGCTTTCCTCAAATCCTACACATCACAAAAATGTAAATGTTAGCTCCGAATGTGAACACTAGTCTTTGTCGAAAACACACCGTAGACATATCTGAAGGAGGATTTCAGCAGCAGAAGGCTGTATCTATCCTGCTGCTTCTCCATCACTGCCAGGACTCCCATGATAGCAGCAGACTGAGACAAGGAAGCTGAACCAGGTTAAACTTCTCTGGTAGAAATACAGTGCTTTGTGTATTTCAAGAGTGAGTACTAAAGAGAAGTGTAACACCTGTGATCTGTTAGTCATGAAACTACTATCTGTAGTCTGTTGCATGTCTGACATATATACATTTTTGTCCTGTATTTACTTTTATAAACATTATATGTACAAAATAACTCTGAAAAAATAATCTACTAAAATAATGTTTACCACAAACTAAACACTAGAATATAGTCACACCAAATCTCTTTTCAAATCCTAAATATTCCATTTACTGTTTTTGGAACAGCTGATTAGCTGCACATAATCCATCAAACCAGGCAGAGATCAACCTAAAAGGACAACAGCTAGCAGCTCATCAGGTGTGCTAGCCAGCGGTGTCATCATTATTCAGGGCACAACATTTCCCTCAACCATATTTCACATTCCACCCCTGAATCTAGTCCTATTTACCGAACTGGTGCAAACACACTCAGAGGCAAAAAAAAAAAGAAGCATCTATTGCATGAAAAACAAAAGAAAAATATTCAACCAGACATTAAGAAAACACAGATGGATGGATAGACAAACACATGCTTTCAAATTGAGATAGTCCTGCTGCCTGCGGCTGCAGTGATTGATGATGTGAAAAAGGGTACGCTGTTTACCACCTCTGGCAATGCATTGTGAATACTCATCAGCCTGCAGAGAACAACCTCCATCAAGAATGGGATTAACTGTAGGTGGTGATTAATCAGAGGAAAGTGAAATATCCATCACTGTCTTCCCATTATTTCCAGAGGTCATACTATTATCAGACGATTTCATCTGGAAGGACTCAGGCTATTATTCATTCACATTGTGCACAGTGTTAAATGGTATACCATCATGAATGGCTCAGGTCTTCCTAAAAAGACTAATTAAATCTTGAAATAATCCCTCTGTTTAGCATATTATCGAAACACACTGACGATTTTTCAGACATTTAGAGGTGAGCTTGCCCTTTTTTCCTCAATCCTACTTTTGTTCTGTATCTGTTAGAGCTCTGTAGTGTTACATCAGAGGTCCTTGAACCGCTGAATGGCATTGGGCTCACATGGGCAGCCCTGGGCCCTTGTCATTAAAGACCGGCAATTCATTTCATTTTTCCGCCGTGGTCATTTGTTTGAATTAAAAGACGCTGCTCTCTGCCTGCATACAACGCTTTGTTATATAGATAAAATGCTCAGGAAAAGTACAACTGGAGAGCAATTCAGATTTTCATTTTCTGAGGAAATGGCATCTGCATTAATGATTTGTGTAACCCCTCTCCCTCTCTCACGCTCTCTCAACAGTTTATAGAGGTCATCGTCTTTTGCATCCTGCTCTATCTGTACAAGAGGAGGAACCTGAAGCACATTGTCATTGTGATGTTGCTGGTGGCTCTGCTCGGTATGAACAAGTGGAAGCTGTCTGTTTGAGGGCAGAGGCTATGGATTCAACCATTTTAGGTAGTCAGAGGTGGCTTTGTTGCCTGGCTACGAAAAATGGACCCATGCTCTGTCATCATTTCTGTGAAGAGCAGAGTAGAGAACGATGGAAGAAAAATAATTCACTACAACTCACTGAGAGATAATTAACCATCCCCACAAATCAGCACCAACCAGTCAGGAAGTTCTTCATTGTTACAAGTTGTACGACTGAGCGCTGAAGTGATCTGTTGCCTCTGTGTTTCTGCAGCCTCTCTGACTGTCATCTCAGTCAAAGCCGTGTCAGGGATGATCACAGAGTCGATAAAAGGCCAGCTGCAGCTCATCTACCCCATCTTCTACGTAATGCTTGTCGTCATGGTCGCCTCCTGTGCCTTCCAGATCAAGTTAGTCAAGGTTTTCTCTCTCTGTTTATGTGCACCTTCTTTTCTCTCTTTCATGCGCTTTCTTTTAATTCCTGAAATCTCTGTTCGCCACAGTCTAGATTCAATTTTCACTTTCCAGTACCTGAACAAACTAAAGAAAATAATATATTGGACATGGTGACATTGTACCTGCAGCACACCTCCAGTATTATGATGGATGAATAGGCTGTTTCACAGTGTCTCTGTAACCAAGGTCATTGTATTCACTGCATCTTAAATCTTTTTCTCTTCTCTCTCAGATTTCTCAATCAGGCAATGAAAATGTTCGATGCCACAGAGGTGGTTCCCATCAACTTTGTGTTTTTCACCGCCAGTGCCATTGTTGCAGGTTTGTCAATAACACATCTGTCACTTCCTGTGGCTTAAACTTTACTTATTGCATTTTCACATTTAAAGGATGAGACAAATGATACTTATACTGATACTTTTTTTTTTTACTACTAATTTGAATACTATTTTTCTTATTGTCAACAAATCCCACAAAAAGACCAAAACCAACAATGAAATTGATTCAGGTGTCTCCTGCACAGCTTGATATACAGCATCTTACTGAGCCACAGAGACACACAATGTCACTGGGTGACATCTTCCTTTGAACGCTGCTGTATGTAGTTCATTTTGAGTTGAACTTCCATCATTGTCTTGCTCAAATATTAGCAAACCAAATATGTATTAATCTGCCACTGGAAATGGCCTCCAACAAATGTATATTGTAATTCATTCATGAGAAGTGTTTGACAACTATAGTGCTAAGTGGTTTTAGGAAATCACTGAGCCTTTCACAAGAGTCAGTCATGCTAGCTGTTCTGTGAAGTTGTGACTGTATAGAGGATCTTTGGTTTTGTTATAGCTTATAGCTATAGCTTGTGATTTCAGCAAAACTCTGCCATGACAGCCAAAGAGAGAGTATGGAAGTCATTAGTCAGTAATAAGAGATGGACTAACACATTGTTGGTTTTGGTCTTTTGATTAGATTTGTTGGCAAAAGGAAAAACAGCATAACATCAGCCTTATCCTTTAAGAATTATATGTGTGCTCCAACAGTCCCTGCAATAGTTGAAATCAATTCATGACACAACACAGTGCACCATAATACACAGTCAAGATGGTGATTCACTCCTATATATGTGAACCACTTAGGAGTCCTTGTTCTGCAGTATTTATAGCATGTGTATTCTGCCAGGTCAGGTCTTTATTATCTTGTCAGTAAGTGTTCTTTGTTCAATCTGAACAAATCAAGGGTTTTTCAAAAGCAATTTTGTCTTGAAGGGAAAACACCGAAAACACTTTATTATAATTTAAAATCATTTTTTACAATGGCCCTCACATTACTAAATCCATTTCCTCACTTGTTATTCTTCTTGTGGACAAATTGTCCATATGCCACTGACATGACTTCATTTCAAGCTATTTCCAGTCCTTCTTCAGTGGAGTGTAGTAAAGAGAAAATGTTCCAGCAGTTCAAAAAACATCAACTGTAAACAACAACTTTTGGTGTCAGTCTCTTAGACCAAGAGAACAACAGCTTCTTTCCACCACTTTGCCCTGATGTCCCATAATCATACAGGGAGACATCCATCATAGAGGCAGTAAAGCCACATGGTGTGTGGTGTTTTGAGTCACTTACCTTCCCTGAAAATCTCCTGCTCTGATATTGCTCTTAGTTTTACTATTGCTCTCTCTGCCTACACATATGATCCAAAAACTGACATCACCTAACAACAAACTGCTGATGTATTATATCTATAAGGAGCCAGTGGGTGGACTTCTTTAAAATGAGTTTTGTTCCAAACTAATGAAGTTATTAGTTTGGTCCTAACCCAGTGGCGGTCACAGCAGCAGACTTGGGAACAGTGAACTGTGAAAATGTGAAAGTGAAGATACAAACTGTTCTTTGCCAACTTTCAGCTACTGAAACTGTCACTTAGGGGAAAATATGAACATTTTCTGTGTTGCTCATCCTCTGTAAGAACTACATCCTTCAGTTAATAATAAAACTCTCATGCTCATCCCATTGTAAAATGTGCTCAGGATTTTCAGGGCTACATTTCACAAATAAACAAAGCACTAGAGATCTGAGCTACATATTCTGTTATTCTTTGAAATGCATTTTAACGTTTTTTTTTTTTTTTTTTTCATTTCGCAGGGATAGTATTTTACCAGGAGTTTGAAGGCTTGGCTTTACTGAACATTTTTATGTTCCTGTTTGGGTAAGCATTCATGAACACGCAAGAAACTGCATCTTATTGAACTGAGATATTTACTGTAAAATGATGTCAGAACCTTATTCTCTTTTCCAGTTGTCTTCTGTCTTTCCTTGGAGTTTTCCTGATAGCACGAAACAGGCCGAAGATAAAGCAACAAGATCGCAATTTTATCGCAATGGACAGGATCCCTGGTAACTTTTCAATCAACTATTAATCAGTTCTCTTCACAACTAACTATTTATATTGAGTATGATGCAGTGACTAGCCAGCAGTGATAATATGACTCTGCCAAAAGTGACCCTAGATTTATCTGGCTGCTAATGTCTGCAGCCCTGGCAGCAGGGTCCATCTAATGAGCTGTGCTGTCTGTGTTCACAGGCAGAAGAAACACAGTCAAAGTGCAGCCTGAGGCAAAGACTCCGACATACGGATCGCTGGCAGCCAAACTCATGTGCAACAGAGCTGGCCAAACAGACGATTCTTAGGACCAGCTCCATCTGTCGGGACAGTAATTTTGGTAGATTTGTGTGTGTGCGTGCCTCTTCCTGGGTACTTCAATAATATCTCTATTTGTAGAAATAAATGGTAGGCAGTGATTCAAACCAGTGCCAGCTGAGCACCAGCATCAGTGGCCATATTGGTGTTAAATTTCTACGCCAGAAATGTGGAGTACCTCTCAAAAGAGCTGTATTTATCCTAGAGAACTTTCTGTTTCTCTTGTGTTAACAGTATTTTCAGCAGGGTGGTCGGTAACACCTGAGAAGAAAGACTGAGATAAAACACCTCAGAAAAAAGACCAACATCAGATGCCTTATTAGCAGCAACTTTTAATTTGAAAATGTCTAGGAGGCCACTGTGACAAATGCCTCCCAATAAAACATATGAATTATGTTAACCATCTGAATAAATTGGTCTGTGTGTGATCAGTTGTCAACAAACAAGGGCAAAATCTGATACATGAATGGTCTGAAGATTTCCTCACATAGAGCAAAATAAGTGCACTACTGCCCTCTAATGGTGAAGGAAGCTCAAAGATGACCAGATGACTTTGTAGGTTTTGTGTTAATCTGAGTACATTTGAAATGACAAAGAGAAAAGCATTACAGCATTAGTTATATAAACAGTCTTTCATGGCTCATCAGTTAAAATTGCTCACATTTATGTCTCTGGTTTTAATTTGTGAGTGAAGCACTTGAGCACACGTCATTCTGAAATCCTTTTCCAAGATATTCTAATATAACTGGTCTAAAAAGCACTAATGCAGGGCCTGGCCGCCCATCCTTACCTCAAATAAACCTCAGACTACATACTCAATTCAACTGCTACCAAACTTTAGTGTTGCCAAGCAACAAAACTCTTATCTGCCACCTACACATTATGGGATGTGTGGAAAACCACTGTTCATGCCAGTGCACCTATAAAAAGAATGAACATTAAAGTATCAGTTGTTTCATGCATTTACTTTTAAAGGGGCCAGACTTTACTGTGTGGAGGTTAAATTAGTACATGTGCTGTTTTTACACAGGTGAAGGTGACAGTAATTACACATGCATGGCATATTCTGTGAAGTGCAGTATTTTATTGCCTAACGTTTGAACAAAACCTTTTCAGTGCTGTGGCATTTTCAAATAGAAAGTGACACGTTTCTGAAATCCAAACCCATTAATTTGACTTTTTAAAAACAATAGGATGCCACCAACATAAATACTCTCAGCACCGTTAAGTCTGGATATAAAAGGATGTACAATAAACCATAAATTAATACCTTTTGGAAACCCAGTTGATAAAAGGCTGAACTAATCTTTCTAACTGAAACAAAGCTTTTCATTCAATCCTGTACTTAACTGATCCCTCTGTGGAGCATTAATCTGATAAAGGAACTGGTATAAAAACAAATATCCAAAAACAACCAAACTTATTCAACTGAAACAGTGAGGATGTCTCTTCCCCAGAGTAAAATATACACAACTAAAAATTCTCTTTTCAACACTGGCACCTGGTAGCTTGTAATCATTCCACATGCATGCCATTAAGTCATCAGCCAACACTGGATTATGGCACAATACATGAAAGCAATTATGAAGGCACAGGGATTCTGTGAGATTAGTTAATGAACCATCATGCAACTTATAACCTTAGGCCTCTGCAGGACAAAAAAGGTGGTGTTTATGTTTCTCCATTAATGCAGAATTCATTGCTTTTTGTAAATCAAGTTCTGCAGAGGATCAGATGTTTCAATCAGACCTCAATGTTGATTTTAGCAAAGCGGTAATGCAGGGAGGTGGGGTTGCGCAACAGCAATATTCCTCTGTGTTCTTTTGGCTGGTTGAGGAGGGTGTTGACGAGACCAGCAACGCTGACAAACCCCAGAGCCTCCCCACAGCCTGCAGACAGGGAGAAGTCACCCTGAGTAACCCAGCCTAGAGTCACTCGGGAGCAGTGAGAGGTGATGCTCGGCAGAGGATCCGGCCACAGCCCAAAGATCAGGTCTGTGGATGACTCAGAGGATGATTTGGGGTCTTCAGAAGACGTGGTGAGGTTTGGTTCAGAGGCAGAGGGGAGGTCTGACCCTTTACCCTCGGTCTTATCAGAGGACAAGGAGGATGTAGCCGTTTTCTTGGAGCCCTTCTTTCTGCGTTTCATTCTGCTTTTAAAGTGGTTTTTGTGTGCAAGCTCCTGGGGGCCACTGCTGTCAGACTTGTTGCTCAGCAGCTTCAGGTCCTCTGTGCTTGGCACAAACACCATGGCATGGAGCTCCGGTTTGCCCTTTGACAGCAGCGACAGACGCACCCACACCAGACTCATCCCGTGCTCTGTGAGAAACGACGTCATCGCTGAGGAGTCGAGAGGGGGCACCTCCCCAGCACGGCACGGCCTCTGACCTTTAGATGTCGTGGGTCTGCACCAACCAGAGAGCAGCCTCAGAGACTTTCTGCTCCTAGAGAGCAAAGAAACAAACAATATCCATTTATTACAATTGATTAACAGTCAAAGGAATAGTTGCATTCTCATTGGCCCCTTTAGGTGTCCCGAAAAACATAAAACATTTTTAAATTCCTAATGCTGAAAACAAAAAGGCAGCCGATGGACAGTGAAAATCAATCCAATTTTTTTCTCATAAAGTCAGTCATTACTCAAAGCTTGGGTGATGGCTTTATGAGAACAGATGCAACTCTTCCCCTCTACTAATCTATGTGATGTATTGCAGCAATTTAAGGCTGGATGTACTTTGGGGATTCTCATCAGGGACATTATGATGAAAGGGAGGTAGACTGGAGAAGTGCCATGCATCAAGCTTGTCAAACGCTGCACTGAGGTCTCTTTAAAAAAAAAAAAGAAAAAAAAGAGGAAAGAAGTAAGTGATGACATGAGACCAAAGCTGCAAAAACACTGCCCGTTTCTGCTCAAGAGACCTTTAAAAGTCAACTGTATTAATATTGTTAGAGCTGTGATTTAGATGTGCAGCATGTTTAGTGTCTGAAGGAACCTCAGCTTCGCCTGCAGTGGGTGTGTGTGTTTTGAGTCAACACTGATTACTTTATTTTCACAATAAGTGAAAGAGGAGGATAAAAACAAAAAGAATAAATCTTCAGTATAAATCACAAATAAGATTATTAAAGAAGTAAAACAAAACATTCACCTGAGCACGGTGAAGCGGCTCTGAGGCTTTGTTACAGCGGTATGTGATGTCATCTCCTCCTCCATAACTGTGTCAGCGTCAGTTGTGGTTTGGGTCTGGCTGTCTCTTTTCTGCTCCTCTCCTCCTTCACTCGTGATAAGCTCCCACTCCTCAGCCAGCTGTTGCCATGGGCAACGGAACGGAGCCAGACAGCCATGTTTAATGTAATTGGTCCTTTTGGCGGGTGGACGCCTACAGGAGAGGTCGAAAGGTCAAACCCTTGTCAAACTGCTGGGGCAACCCTGCCAATTTATGCAACCAATCATGACCGCTGAGCGGTGGGTAGTAGGGGATAAGCAGCACGCAGCCTTATTACCATCTCATCTGCATGGTGGGAAAGATCTGCATAATGGAAATTAACTGGGGTCAGAGCTGTGGAGTGCTTCCCTCTATCAAAACTTCTAATCCACTAACAATCTCACCACTTACTTAGGCTGCACGCTCATAAATATTATCTTTTCCATGCAGATGATTGTACAGTCACACAGTAACAGACCCTGACGACGCATCTTTCCAACAGAGCGTCGTCATCATCATCTTACTTTGTGTTTACATGCTCTTTGCAGTTTAATGGGTAATTTAAAGTTTGCTAATGGTTAATTAAAATATACTGTTGAAACATGTCCATCGGTGAAATAGACTTTTATATTCTGGGCAAGTAATTAAGATTCTGTTTTCTATCAGCAGGATGACTTTCTAGTTGTATGCCAGAATAATATTACAAGATAAAACAAAAGGTTTGGCAGTACAATGAATACAGCTCTTAACATGTTTCCCATCATACACAACATTACTATATTGGTTCCTGTGCTCAGCTTCAGTCTTTATCTGACCTTTTGAACTTGTCCAGGAGCTCGGCCTCCTGCTCCTCCTGAAAACCGATGCCTGCGGGGCAGTCTGGGTAATCATGGGGGAAGTTGGGGGCTCCTTTATTCTGAGAGTGTTTTAGACTCATATTCAGCCCACCGATGCGGACTCCTCTGTACACCTGGCAGAGGGCGAAATAAGTAAACATTGGATTTTAGGCAACTTGACAAATAAAGCAAACCTGGGGGCTTCCAGTCCACCTTTAAATTTCAAGGTACAGTTAACATTTTCACAGTGTTTGTCCAAACAAAATGGAACTGCTCCAAAACATGAACAAGGCTTCCAAGTAATGAAAACAACGTTCAGAGCTTTCCATACTGACTTCCACGCTCTAACAAAACTCTACAAAAGGGAATTGGAAACATACACATTTTTGGTTTTAATAAAATCCTCGTTACTCATATCTTCATTTGACTTGTTTCAATATTTGGAAGACATGTCCTGGACAATATATCAAACACAAGAATTTTGATAGTATGCACATCCAAAGAAAAAAAAAAAAAATCTCATCTGCACACTGAAATTTAAAACCTCCCCAAAAATTATTCATGCAACTTTTCATTGATGTAGCATCATTGCATTTTTTGAGAGGTTGCAAATTCCAGTGTGCAGACAACCATCACCTTTTCCATTAAACCAAGTTGGCCTTATCACTCTGCCTGTTATTATAGAACCAATATATCTTAATGTCTACAACAGCTTAGTATTAGAATATGTGAAAAAGTCCTGTTTCAACACTACATGAGACTGTAAGATAGACAGCAGCTTATGAGAATGGCATGGATATTTCAACAGTGTTTTAATCCAAGTTAAACCACATTTATTACTGCTGTAGGGAAAACAAAATTGTTCCAAAACTGCTACATTGTGGCAGAAACAAATAAAAACACCACCTACCAGTGGGATCCAGAAGGCCATGCCCCAGCCTTTAGGAAGCAGCAGGTCCCATCCAGCACCCCAGGAGCTCATCTCATGTCCCACCTGCTTGCCAGGCTGGTGAACCAGCAGGATGGGGACTCGTCCCTGCAGGGGAGTGGGGCTCAGCCTGGAGCCCGGCACCAGCACGTCGCTCCTCATACGGTTCAGCTCCTGTGGCCACACACAGAAATCGCTAGAGGTTACACTTACATCTAATACATGTCAATAACGATTGCTGACTGTATGACATTTCAGGTAGTAAGAAAGAGACGGAAAGATACCTGCTCTGATATCTTGTTATCAGTGACATTGTCCCGTACAGACTGCTCCCACAGGAAGCTCTGACAGCAGTGTTCTGGTACTCCTCGCAGCATCAGCTCCCTCCTCTTCTCCTCGTCCACCTCTGAAGAGACACACAGCACAAACACATGGCACGCTCCTGTATAACCAGCATCACCAGCCTCTGTGACATATGAAGCTCTCTACGTCCGATTTATAACCCAAAACCTAAATGACCTGATCACTGATTAATAAAACTCATTCAGCTGTGGAAACAAGAACGTGCTAAATACAATACAGAATAGAGCTCAAAGAATAGAGCTTTCAAATGCATATTGAATTTCACAATTAATACTAAATATGACATTACAAATAATTACAATTACAAAGTAGGAATAGTATGAGGACAATAAATATATTTGATATTATAATTCTATTTTTTGATATAATATTGCAACTCCTTGAAATGACCAGGTTTTACTAAAAAAAAACAAACAAAAAAAAAAACCATAACAGATTAAATTTAACCAGATAACTCAGTAACCTCCTTCTTGGAACAGGCCTCCAAGACCTGGATCTCCTCTTCCCATACTTAGAATAAAGCCCTACTGGCTAATGAGTTTGCAAAGCCATTTGGGCAGAGGGAAAGCTTGAGATTGTAAAGTTATTAAGTCATGCTGTATGTCAGCCAGTGAGCAGATCTGTGGCACTGCGAATATCTCTCACAGAACTAGTGTCACCTTCTGTTCTAATCCACAGATTAGAACAAAACTGAGGACGAGACAGAGCATTGGTTTAAAACAATATCTTGTGATTAAATGTCACTATGACATGACTTGAAGAATAATCTTGGTTATTTTAAGACTGGGCCTTATTAGCCTTGTTATGGCTGTAGATGCTGATCAAGGTCCTTGTGAATACTGAGGACGCTTTCAAGGGAAGCGATTAAATCCTGTTCCTCCTCCCGGCACCCTTATTACAATGTGAACACAGTAAAGTACTAACAACCAGCAAAGTAAACAAGAGTGTATGTGAGCAGTGACACATGGCAACAGACAATACTGCCTCTGTTATTATCACTGAAATGTAAGTTTCTTTCATTATGGGTTTGACAGGATTTTCTTTGGCCCAGTTTTATTATGTAATAAAAATCTGCAAACTATTATCACTAGAACTGATTATTATGAAAACTAGCAAAATAAAGGCACCGGTTGAAATCAACCCTCTCCATCTTTGATGCATCTCCTCATAGTCAGTGAATCAGCTGTTGTCGGTCACTGAGGGTGTGTTTGGAGTACAGGGTCCTGCCAGGATTCGAACCTGGAACATCTGCATGGCCAGGCAGAGGCCCCCAGGAGCACAGAACCAGATGTGTACTCACTGAAACAACCTCAGGACCAGACACAACAGACTGATTCTGTGCTTAACAATGCATATGTCTTTTTCAATGGTCATGTTTCTGCTGGCACATACTGTATGAAAAAGAATATATTGTCCATCTGCACACTGTATGACATACAAGTCCACATTAGGAAATATATGAATATGAGATCATAAAAATGATGATTTGTGGTTTTCATGCCCCTTTAATCTTCTGTATCTGTTCACAAACTGCCCACTCCTCTGTCTGTTCGGTAGGTCAGATTTTACCTTGTGCCTGCTTTACACAGGGCAAAGCTTTAACCTTCTTTGTTGGTAAAGTCAGCCTGGGGTCATCTACGGCCAGACCCAGCACTGCGCCCGAGGGGAGCTCTCCAGTCGAATAGATGTCTGGATGAATTATAACATTCATTGTTAGATAAATGTGCGTACCACAAAAAAATAACATAACAGTATTTTAATTTACGTTGAGAATTATCAATAAACCTTTCAGTATGTGAAAGATATCAGCTTGTTGTTGATGCAGTTTCATCTTGCTCTCATCTTTGCAGTGCTCAGGCCACCAAAGGGGGGATGGCTGGGATTTATTCATTTCCTTAAAAAAAGAAAAGAAAGAAATACACAGTTATTTGGTGTGAAATGCAAATACATCTCACAGGCTCTTTGCTTTTCATGTTTACAACACTTTGAACCTTACCTCACAGTCTGTAGCAGCTTCCAAAGTTTCAGCCAGAACAGAATGGGACTGTGGTCCAATCAGGCGATAGCGTACAATCTCCATCGTGAGATCACTGCAACAGATTCACAGGTGAAATACAAACACTGCAAAATAAAACAATCACCAGCATTTGCACTGGAAATTTTCAAACCACGTTTACTTAGTTTGCCTGAATCAAGCCTGTAAAGTACACTGACTTTATAACTATTCCAGTTGAGCTGGACCTCCATGTGACCGGGGTGGTGGGAGATCTGCTACCATCTCCCAGGATCTTCTTGGCAGGAGGTCCACTGGCATCCTTACAGTTCCGCTTTCTCTTGGTCCGGGAGATTTGTATGGCCCCATGTGTCTTTGGAGGTTTAAGTTCTGGTTCTGGGGTGGGAGCAACCTCTGCAGGTGTTACCACTGGCACAACTGGAGGAACTACAGCTTCACAACACTGGCACACTCTTTGTAATTCAGGGAGAAGATCCTGGAGGGAGGATACAGTAACTTGATTTAAAACATTTGCAGACCTTGTCTCTCTATTAAGTCATATCAACTAAAATTCAAACTTTCACCGCAAAATTAATTTACATTTTTTTTGTCAGAATACTAAATGCTGATGTTTTAATTTCAATAATGTATAGTTCTGCATTAGTCAACAACAACCATTTTGACCTTTAAAACTCCTCATACCTGTTTAATAGTGGGATGAGCCCAGATCCACAGCTGTCTGTGACTTGAGCCCTGTGTACGGGGTCTCCAGAGAAAGGTGACAGGGCCCAGGGGCTGCAAGGGGTAATGTCCCGCTCTGTACATCACCACACTGCCCTGTCTTCGCCCTGATATACAGAGTGCCGCAGCAAATGTAGGACCTGAAAACACAAACCAACATGCATATTTTCCTGACTACTGAAACTAAACTAGTCTGAATATGTGCAATGAGAAGTTTGAGTAAGACTGTGTGAATCTTTAAAAACTCAAACAAGCTAAAACAGTTATTGTGAAAGTTAAAAATGTTATCTGAAAATCAGAAATCAAAGAAATCAAAATCAAACCTATGTACTTGTTATTGGGTTAGGGAATATACACTACCAGTTTCCTTGTTGGTCAGTTGTGACAGAGCAGCCAGCAGCTTGTCTTCCTCTCCCTGTAGCTCTATGCAGCAATAGTATGAAAGATCCTGAGGGGACAGAACCAGAAGATTTAAGCTAATTTCACTGGTGCTGAAATCCCCTTAAATACAATCCTAAACTTGTGAAGTAAATGAGGCAAGAAACACATTCCCAGGCTGTGTGTTCACCTGCAGCAAACAGTGGGTGCTCATGGCTCTGTAGCAGGGCCGGTAACATTTGTATGTGGGTCTGTCCCCGAGGCAGTAGCCCCACTTTTTAACCATGTGGAAGCGCTTGGCGTGCCAAATGTGCGTCTCCAGCCATACGTTCTTCCTCTGACGTCGGTTGAACTCCAGCAGCAGGTTTCCATGCCGGCGGCGGGCCTTACGGCTCTTGTTCTTTGCCTGTTCCTTCTTCTTCTTTGAGCCAGCCTGGAGGCTCTTCTGCCGCTAGGGGAGGAAGGGAACAGAGATGTCAATGAATATGTCAGGGCAGAGAAGGAGAGTTTGTATGTGAAACAAGAGACAAAGTGTTAAGTGAGATGCTAAACATAAACATGTCTTGAACGTTACCATTCTGTTGGCCACTTCTCTCAGTCTGTAAGGGAGCCGCTTGGTGTTGTGGCTCATGGCCCGTCTCCTCATGTGTTTGGGCAGGGCTGCAGACACATGGCAGCTGCCTGTTGTCTTGGTGACGGCTTTCAACATGGCGCTCACCTCTGCTGCCCTGGCTCTTGCAAAACCACCAGCTGGGTAGGGATGGTAGCAGAAGAGAACGGTGGAACAAGGCACTGAGTTTTAACTGTCATTCATCTCATCTGACTGTGACACTGTATTTGCAGTTTCTAAGCATTTTCAAGATTAGTTTCTACCATTTTGTGACTTTTATCATCCTCAGTTGAACTAAACATCATGTTTATTTGACAAACAGAAAAAAAACAGTAAAACTGCACCACATGAAAGAATTGTTCATTGGGCAATCCCTCTACCAAAAACACCTCATGATACAGGCCAGTGTGAACTTGTAGAAGCAGGACAATGTCTTTACCAGTGATGTACTTGGGCATTTCTTTGGCGTAGCTTCCTCCATCTTTCTGGTGTCCACGGACCCATCCACTCTGGTGGTGAGAGCTCTTCTGCCTCTCTGTAGATGGATGGGTGTCAGATGGACCATCACCAACATCTCCACCTTTGTGAAAATCATTTTGTCATTAGAGATGAGAATGTGTCCAAGGCTGGATTACCACCTGGGCATAATAAACAACTGCCCTGGGGCTCCAAATCATCAGGGGTGGTGATCTCTATGGCAATTACTTTGTGGTTTAATGATTTAAAAAATGTTTGATAATAAAGAAAAATAGTAGTGGAAATGGTAAGGGTCTTAAATTGGCGCCTGTATATTTGCACTGTATATTTCCATAATCATGTGGCCCTGTCTTTAAGAGTAGCTTTTTAATGTTCCTCTTTGCACACTGCTAAATAAATATGTGCTCAGTTAAATTATTTCTAGGGAACTAGCACTCAATAAACCTGGATAGGGTAGTATTACAGCATGGTAATACTGCACTACCAAGGGACCTGCAGTTTATTTTTGCCCAGGGGCCCCCAGGAGTTAATCCAACCCTGAATGTGGTGTATTGTTTTCTCTTTAGATAAACTCTTGCTTGCCCGGCCTCCACGGGGAGGTTTGGATAGTTGAAGTTGAAGGACAGTAGCCTTGGAGCTGACATGGACTGTGTGTCCTCTGTAACCCTGAACCTTTAACAACCCTCTGATACATTTGATTAAATCACAGAGACATGCACAGTCAGTGATAAACAGTAGTGACGGGCCGGATGCGGACTGAAATCTGCTGACCACACAGCAGCCAGAGGAGGCGAGGGCTGCAGTCGAAAAGTATTTTCTGCTTAGGAAGGTTCCTAACTAAGTGAAATGACCCAGAAGTATCTGGGAATATTACTCTAAATGATAAGGAAAGGGGCTTCAATGCTTCCTATCTTGTCTCCTTTAGCATAGGAAACACTGGACCTGCCTTTATGAAAGGAAAGGAGAAATGCCTGTCCCACAATTCTTTGCCCATTGCTCATTGTAGTTTCACCTTGGCAGACCCACATAAATGTAAAACAACAGAGAAAATGTTTTATGTTTGTGACACAATCCAGAACTGATGTAAATCCTTGTCTGATTGACTGAAGCCCAAATCCATAAATGTAGATCTCTTCTCTTACAAATCCAGTTAGGAGTCATCATGAAGAACAAATATATTGAATTTCTAGTTAACAATATCATCATCATAAAAAAATGCTATAGTCTTTAGATAAATGTCATTTAACTAAAGCACTAAAAATTAATTTTCTCTACTTAATCATATAGAAATGTCAAAAGCACCTATGTTATGAAACTAAATACATGTCTGAATATAATTTACTCTGAACTCTTGCTCAGTTCCTTATTTCTGTTCAATCATTATTTTATGGCCTAGCTTTCTCTATTTGTATATTCCTTTAAAGTCATCTTATTTCAACATTTCAATTCTGTTTGCTTTGTTTTTGTGGTTAGGAAAGGAGTAATTATCCTCCATGTGTTATAAATAAAGTTAACTTTAAAAAAAAAAAAAAAAAAAGCTTCGTGTTAGTGCAGCCAGACTCTCCGCACCGCGATTGTCTTACCCTAAGTCCTTATGAATTCTCCTTTACATCTTTACTTGACCTCATGACGTTTTCCATCGTGGTCAAGAATGAATGGCTAGGAAAGGAGATTATTTTGACTTTTCGACCGCAGCCCCAGTCTTGTAGAGTGAGATGTAGTGAGAAGGGCACATACTGCATCACAAGAGCAGAAACCAGAGACAATGACATGACATGACATATAAACAGAGAAGGCAGAGTACCAGTGACCGGGGTGTCTCCTCCGTTCTGTGTGCTGCTCTCCACACTCAGGGGAGAAGATGGATACTGCACACTAGTGGGCTGGTTCCTCATCTTCTTCTCCCGCATCTTCACTTTAGCAGCAGACATTTTCTACGGGAAACGAGAAGGCAAGTTTGTCACGCCAGCTGACATAATTACTGTTTGCTAAACGCAAAGCTGGCACTCCAAGCAGCTACATGACTTGTCACTATGCCTACTGCTAACGTCAGCTAGCTAGCCACGTTACGTTACTCCACGTAAAGTTCAGCTCTTTGTTTAACTGACGACAACACAAATAAAACATGTATTAAAATTAAATGCAGAATAATTACATTGCGTATGTTCACCTTTACATTCCCGGGTGTGACGGTATGTCAGAAGCTTTGGTCCAAATGTATGCCCTCTCTCTATTAACAGTTCACTACCATGTGAGTTTCCCTCACGCTGGTTGACGCATGTTTGCTTCCGGGTATGAGGTGTTCAGGGGATTTGTAGTGTATCGGCGCAACAAAAAATATAGACTAATCTCAACATACTGTCTATTCAGGTTATGTTCTATTTTCTCATTTGTTTATTTTATATTTGCGTATAAAATTTGTCTGTATACCTGCACTACTACTAAAATGTAAAATAAGAAAACATTTTCGCGCGTCTAAAATGTAATTTACGGTAAAGCAGCTCTGACGTTCTTACGTCCTCGAGTGCTCTACTCTCTTCTCCACGCAGCTTTACAGTTACACAGCTACAGCGCTTATTTCATTCACTTGACTTGATTTATTCTCAGAAAAATGGCTTCTTTAATCAGGAGGATTGTCAGCACAACGAAAGCTCCTGCTGCTATCGGCCCGTACAGGTGAGAGCAGCTGAAACCTCTGATTGTCAAGTTACAGATGGTACATAACGGACGAAGTAGCAAACAAAATAACATGTTGAAAGCAAAGATCGGTGTTAAAACGTTGAAACAGTAATGACTATTGATATTTTTCTCAACGTGATCACACACTTGTGTTTAATTGCACCGAAGAGGTCACTGTTCTGCTCAGTGGTTGTGGCTGGAGGTGGAGCAGTGGTCACTCAGATGTGCTTTAAGGGTCAAAGTACAGGCTTTTGGATTGTACTTTAAAGTTTATAACAGCAAACTACGGTCATAACTTTGCATCCAATTATTTCTCAGCACAGTTTCCTCCTTACACAGGTGTACAGAATGTATATGCACTAGTGATGGTATTTTCCCATGTTGTCTTGTTACTGTCCTTCTCATTACAGTTACATATAGTAGGCCTATAGTATAATATTTGTTTTGCACCACTTCCTTACTTTTTTTTAATGTGTACAGTTGTCTTGCACGAGTTGTTCTTTGTAGTGTATCTCTGTGTTTATTTCATGTCTACACTATGTGCCTTTTAAATTGCCCCCTGGGGAAAAATAAAGTTTATTGAATTGAATTGAATTGAATTATTAAGTTATTATGACAATGCATTATAAAGTTTGGTCAGCTTCTGTGTGAACACTGGTTGACAGTATGTGACATATTCATCATTTACTTAATGAACTGCGGGAGTTGATAAAACATAAAAGCAAATGCAGGTATAGGCACAGAGAATACAATACAAAGTTAAATACAAATACTATTTCTCAAACAAATTTTCTGCACCTGTTGGTATATTCAGAAACTTTTCTGAAATTCCTGTTGGTTCTGCACCGCTGGTAATACAGAAGACTTGACAAAACTATTTGAATCCAGCCTCCAGTCTAATGAAGATAACTGTTCTCGTTTGTGTGTCTCCAGCCAAGCAGTGGTGGTAGATCGGACAATGTACATCTCAGGACAGCTGGGGATGGATCCTGCCAGTGGACAGTTGGTGGAAGGTGGCGTTCAGGCTCAGACCAGACAGGTGACCCCTCACACAACCAACCAGGAGCAACTGTCCAACATATTATTATGTTATGCAATTTTGTGTTGCTTCACTTTATTATCATTAAGTTAGGTTAAGTTTTACATATCTTATCCATTCAGATGATGCTACAATCTGAATAAATGCAGTGTATCATTAGAATTTAACAGCAGAGCACCTAATATTAAAAAAAACTGTCTCCCCAGGCTCTTGTAAACATGGGTGAAATCCTGAAAGCTGCTGGCTGCAGTTATGAGAATGGTGAGAAAAACTTTAGTATCTGAAAAGTTTTACATTTTGAACAGATCACTAAGAAGATCGCTAGACATCTTTTATTGCACATCTAATCATTTTGTCATTGTGTCCTGCAGTTGTCAAAACCACAGTGCTCTTAGCTGACATGAACGACTTCACTAATGTCAACGATGTCTACAAGCAGTGTAAGTTTGATTGATTTACTTAATATTATGATTTTCTCTTTGCGGTTTTTGACCATGCTCATCTGTCATGATCAAAAACGTATCACAACAGGCCTTCATGTGACTCTCTGAGCAAAGGTCCATCACTTGAATTGTGCAGTCTAGTTTTTGCCACTGGGTGTCAGCACAATCTATTCATGATCAATTTATGCATACAGACCCTGCTGGTCATTGCCTTTGTACATACTCGACATATTATCATCCATAATGGGAAGGATTATTCACTTATTTTTTTTCTGGGTGCTTATCTATGATGACAGAGACTTTAAGTTTCTCTGTAGAAAACAAACAAATCTATTTATAAGCACTATATTTTTCAGGATACATCTTTCAGATAATTGTCATCCTTGATTTGTTTTCTTTATCCAGATAGTGAGCTTAGAAGTATGAACCACATTTTAAGAAATAGGTGAAGGTGAAGATGTCATCAGGCTGCTGAAATGTGCTGAGTCACTCCTGAAACCTGAGCTGCTGCCACCAGTGGATTAAGAAAGAATATGATATTGCTCCAAATGCACCAGATTCTTTTCAGTGCAGTTTTAAGTAGTGTTGTATTGCTTGGCCTTCACAAAAGACCCTGAGGCCTGTACTAGGAAACAGGATTTGTGATTAGAAAGTTAACTTAAGGTTTAAACCCTTGTTTTCAGGGTTACGACAGTGGTTCACTTTTTACCGGGGTACATTGCCATGGTAACTTATGCTGAATCCTACCTGATCCGGAGCAGGTTGTGTTCAGCGGATCAGATCAAAGACTGTCAACAGCCCAAATACTGACCAATCAGATAACTGGAAAAATGAAGTAATCATTCCTATAGGATCCTGACAGGAACAAACGAGTTTACAATAAAGTTTCAAGTAATAAAGAGCAACAGATATTTTTCTAAATCAGTCGAATCATATTGCTGTTTCAGACCTTGCGTGTGTCCACTCTGGTTTTAACACAGACCTTCTAACAAAGGGAGGGAGAGTTTATCACACTAAATAACTACGTAATAACTATAATTATTATATTATAAACATTACTTTTTTTATGGTTTCTCCTTATTGAATATCACTTTTGGATGTTACTATAACCAAATGTGTCTGTAGGTGTCACTGTTTCTTCTCATATCATATTATAAGTACTTTATTCTGACAGTGTTGGTTATAATGAACAACTCTGCCTCTTTCTCATGAACGCACTCGTAGTCACACACACAAAAACCCAGAGTCAACTGAGCCAGTTTATAACCAGCTTTGTGATACAGGTTATCGAGGATGGCAAATGTTAGATTCAGTGAAGCCAGTTAATGAAAAGATGTGTTGAGTATGGTGAACTTGCTTTGTAGTACAGGCCCCAGGTCCAGTGCTAGTGTTTTTGTAATTTGTGTTTTAGTACTTTTCTAGCACACACCTGTTGCTAAAGCTCATAATCTACCGGCACTTGACTGGTGACACAGTTGTGTGCTGTTTTGAGTGGTGATGAGTCAAACTGTGTTTCCAGCTGGAAAATTTGTGCAGAAAAAATCATAAAGTTATATTCCCCTATTTTTTTTTTTCTCTGCACCCACACAGGTGTTTTCACTTCAGGTTGATGCTGGGTGGAGCTATGCTGGAATCACACAAGCTCACCAAACTTTATTTACCAATAAGAATAACAAAGCAGTGAATTCTCCCACCCCAGCAGGTTCTGCAAAGCTAATAAAAGGATCAGAGACATTCCGATCAGGCGTCGTCTGTTCACGCCTTCCCCGTCCACTGAGGAGAACTAATCAAATGATATAAGTGAAAACACCTGTGTGGGTGTATCAGGCGTGAAATTCAAGTTAGCTACCCAATTGTGTACAGTATTTATTTTATATTTTTTATATAGTATTAGCTGACTGTGACTATTAGACTGTGTTTGCAGAGAAATCAGTGGATACTTCTGGCAGTTATGTTTTTGCTTGTCTGTTCACCCATGCTGTTAGTGTTGCCTAAAAAACACAGTTTCACACATACACATAACACACAAGAGGATTTAAATAAAGACCCACCTGCTACAGTATTACTATACTATACTATACTATACAGTATTTATTTAGAACAACAATAACTTAAGACTTCATAAACTGGATGTGTTCAGTTAGAAAAGCCCAGCAGACATGGTGACATGTGGTGAGGGGAAAAGCACAGGTGTAACTAATCAGACTAATGATTGCCTGAGCAGACTGACTGGGAGCCTCTAATTGGTGTTATTAGTTTCACCTGTGCTTTTTCATCCACTGTGTGAAATTCATATTAACATGTTGCTGATTGATCACCTCTAATCAGAGGTGGGCGACACTGACTGGCTGGCTAATGAAAGACTAAGATCCAGCCTCATGTTTCACTTAATGTCAACGTGTTTAAATGTGTCTGTTGTAACTTGATGACATTTAATCTGCTGCTCTCTCTAGTCTTCAGCACTAACTACCCGGCCAGAGCTGCCTACCAGGTCGCTGCTCTTCCCAGAGTATGTATTCTTTGATGACTTTTTTTTTCTCTTTTCCATTGGTTCTGTCGGTGGATTTAACCAAACTGAAAGCCGTGTCCTCTCTCTGTTTCTCTTTGTAGGGTGGACTGGTTGAGATCGAAGCAGTTGCAGTTTTGGGCCCTCTGACCGATGTTTCCTAACAATCTATCAAAGAATAAAAACTGGAAAACCCACGATCACTGAAAAACACATGAGCCTTGTTTTGTAGACCAAGCAAGAATTGATTAAACATAGTACTAATTATTTTTATTATAGCTGTATCATCTTTTGTGCATCAAGGGCTCTGGCACTGTCACAAATATGTCAAGGGTCACTTTGGAGACCAACAGCAGTCCAGCCCAGAGCGCTGTCTCCTGTATCATTAACATTGATAAGACATGTTTGGACACAACACTGCTCATATTTCTCTTACAATAGCTAAAAAGTAAGTAAGCTTGTAATTGTGTTAAATTACTCTACCAACCTGTGTTGTCATGACTGTATCCTCTCATAATATAACTCAATAATAAATGTTTTTAATCTACTTTAATGGTGATTTGTGACCTTCATTACAACAAAACCACTTGTTGATCATCAGTGGAAATTCACTTTGTGATATTTTTTTTCATTTTCCTCAGTTGGTGTTTGGTCCTTATATTACTTCTTATATATTGGAGATTTTCACAGGATGGAAAACCATTTGTACATGAGTACAGTGTAGGATATGTCCCAGAACATGGTTTAAAATAGATTATAGATTACAGAAATCCTTCTGTAACCATTGTTCTAATCCTGTTTAACATTCACTGGGAGCATATGGAGTTCATCAGATTATTTCATCCATTTGTTTAAAAAAAAAAAAAAGAAAAGGAAAAAGGGGAAGCTGAGCTTTTATGCAAAGTATTAATTCATTTTAAATGACGGAGTCGAGCCTGGGCATGTAATGTGCACATAATATCATCACTACTTGAATTGCGCTGACTACTTTCCCAGTAGTCTCATCTCACTCTGTGAGACATGTCATAGTGTGGTGGATAGACATGTAGTTGTTCAAGTTAAATTGTTCTAAAAATGAATCTATCAGTTCTGTTAATATTTCACCTTAACAAGTTGTGGATCTAGAGAACATATGATGAAAAACACAACTCTTTAAAGGTCAGTCCTGTACTGTAACTGTCTGTTTGTGTTGTTCTTTTAAGTATAAACCATGTATTGCAAATAATAAAACATAGTCCAATTTCAATTAAGAAGGGGCACATGTATTAGTGAGTAAAACTTTATTCTGTACACTAAAAGGTTAGCAGAATCATAGAACAGAGGATGAATATATTACAGAGAAAGAAACAGATGGAAAAAAAGGACATCAGACATCAAAACAGATTTTTGTTCCCATTCACATCTTATGCAATTAAATCATTTTCTAAGACCTTGACTCTTCTTAACTCAGCATGTAGAATCAATAACAATTTAAATATCACATCCACTAGGTGATCTCTTACTGCACTGCACATGTATGTAATTCACTCAAGGCAAAACCAATGTTGCCCGGCCTCATGATGCATTTAATTGTAGTTGGAAATTCCCTAATTTCCAGGAAGAGAACTAATTAACATCTACCAGGTATAGTACAACTGCAAAAACATGGCTTCATGAAACAGCTAGATGACAAATCAGTACTATCAGTACTACCTGGCAATGATGTCACTTACACAAATCACATTTTACTCATGATTTTTCAATGTAAACCATTAAAGTGATATCAAAAAAAGTTTTTTTTTTTAAGAATGCATGGATTTGACTTACAGTAGTGTTTATCAGTATTACACTGTGCACTCAACACTTAGTACTGTCATTCCTTTTGATTAAGTGAACCAATTAACCCAAGGCAGCAATTAAATAATGTGTAATAACCAATCAAAGTCTGGATTTACGGCAGAATATGCATTTCATAAAATTGTATTAAAAATTAAATCTGTGAATCGTTTTTAAAGTGAGTTTCATATAGGTGTTCTTATACAGTTTGGTGTCACTTCCATCTCTTTGCATAGTTGTATTCACAGTTGTGTTTGGCTTGTATTCCTCAGAAGCAGCTACTTTTAATAGTCAAGGATTTCCTGTAAGCATCGTTCTCTACACTTCAACACACTGCCACTCTAGTCACTGATGAGTTAACAATCTCTAAAGCGAGAGTTCACAGATTTCACAGAGTATTGCACCTTCTTGTCTCATGTAACCCGTCCTAAGTGTTTTCATAGCACGTTGCATACAGAAGCCAACATGTGGCTCCAGGCACTTCACGGTCTCAGTAGGAAAACTCATCGTAAAAGGTTTATATTTACAAATGTAGGAAAAATCCTGATCTCTCCTACAAGACAAGATATTAAGGCACCTTGCATATTAATGTATCTGGTGTAATTTGGTTTGGTGAGAGCTGATGAGACAATTCTGTAAATGTAGTGTTTGTTTGGTCACTTTGTCATGTTTTTCTTCCAGTACACGTTGCATTTGTAGTTTTAGGAGTTTTCATTATGTTGCTAGATTTCTTCCACCTGAAAGAGAATAAGAGAATAAGAGTCTTGAGACATCTGACATACAGATCTTATTATTATTCATATTCAAATATGAATTCCATGTGACGTCAGACTTAGCAAATATCAAATAATTGACATTATTTGTGTACTCTATGCACCTAGTTTTAACAAAAAATATATATACTGTGTATTATACGGTACACAAAGTTCTACTGGGTTGTAATGCATGCAGTGGCTCCCCTCCAACAGTAAGTAAGTGAGTCTGATCCCGCAGTGTTTGCACTGGATTTCGTGTGGTTTATGGTTGTGCTCTTACCACCTCAGTCCTCCTTTTTGGTTTTGCTGCTCTCTGTATCCTGAGAGGCTTCTGTTGCAGACACCACTGCACACACAGTGAGAGGAAATCAATACGTAAGATTTTCATTCAACACAAGCCACATTCTCATCTTTCATGCTGAGGGCACGACGAGCTCGCTGGACGTACGACTTCACCATCATCAAAAGGAAGACATAGGGTGCTGTCACAACAGCCCACAGAGGAGAGAGAAGTGAGGAGCTACCATTCCTCCTTAACCACATCTGCTTCTGCTGAACTGGTTTACTAGTGATTGACCTGCCCTCTCAACACTCATACACACACACATATACACACACTTTGCTGTATGGTAATTGGTCTAGCGTGCACATTGCATAGCCTCCAGAGAGAAAGTCTCATAAAAGTTACGCAAGGTCTCTTCACACCGGACCAGTATTCCACACGTGCTGCCTGGAGGGGCGTCTCTGCCCTAAAAGTACAACATGTTCTCTGACAGTCAAGAGTGGGGTGCAGGCTGAACTGAGATCCAGTGCTGCACCACTGGAGGTACATTTAGTGAGTTAACATGCTCTTGTGAAAATGTGAAAATAGTAGCATTTCATTGAGCAGAGTTTTCTTCCACAACAAAGCCAAGTTATAAAGGAAATATAATAAATGCAGATGATAAAATAGGTCAGAATCTTGCAGAGCAATCAGCTGAATTTGTTTTAATTCCAAATTTTGCCTGATCATTGAAATCCAGTCAGGCCTGTATTGTATTTTAATTGTATCTTGTAATTAGAAGCTGCAGAGCCTGATCATTCTGTAGGCAGCTCACAATAGAGCACAATGAGTGAGTGTTGCGTGACTGGAGCTGTTGTGCTGACAATATGTTCCTGCTATAATCGACATACTCAAGACGAGCTACCCACAGTGTGTATGGCTGCTTTCTGCGCCTCACACTATGTTATCAGTTCAGCCTCACAGGCCTAACAATGTCCAGTTCATCCTGCCCCAACCGACCCCAAGAGGGATTGTTTAGAATAAAGACAGTTGAATGATTTACTGAGAGTTTGGAGTTGCTAATTATGTATGTGTTGGATATCTGCTTAGTTACCAATGGCAGCACCTTTAAGGGGGTGAGGTTGTAAACTCTTTCTTACTTCGGCTATATATGAAGATGGATCAGCTGTTTGCACATGTGAAGGTCTATTAACTGTTTACCTAGAGGTGAACAGGATCTTATGTTTCTGCTGCACATCGCTGAGTCTGTCTTTGCTCACGTTTTCCCTTTTTCCTCCCCTCTCACCTCTTTCTGCTTGTTTGCACATGCTCAGTGCCTAACGCATGTTTGCATAGATTTCCCAAATATTTCAGCTGCACAGTTTGACCTCCACCCAAAAACTGTCAGAGTTTGTCATTCATGCTTTAACAAGCACGTTAATATGGGCTGTGACACCTAGTTGTCGGGGAAACCATTCTGTGTTTAATTAAGTAAATTACTGACTTATAAACTCCCTCAAGACATACAGAACAATGGCAGCCGTCATCCACTGGAATCCTATTGTCACCATTCATTAATAGTTTTACTCTGACTTAATAGCATTGCAGTTTGTCCACTGTCGTGTGTAGACTATGAAGAAAGATGAACAGCTTTAAATGGCTGACTACACTTCTAAATATAGATTGTGTTCTTGGAATCTTTGTACTTTTCAATATTTGTTGTCGAAGGATCAAGTGAAAACGGGGCTATGAGTTGTTTCTTTATCTGAACCTGCCACAAGAAGCCATGTAAAATGTATGATCTGATAAGACAGAGAGTAATCTTGAGGTGTTTCATACCTTTGGGTGAGGGGTCAGGGGCTGGGTCAGCAGCAGGGGCTGGTGCTGAGGTGGGCTCAACCACAGGAGCCTCAGCTGGGGCTGTATTGTCCACCACGGGCTCTGAGGTCACAGTTGCTGGTGTTGCTTCTGGGGCTACTTCTGCAGGGGTCTCTGAAACGGCCGGAGTGGATGCTGTAGCCTCTGCCATCTGGACCGGCTCGGCAGCAGCAGATTCAGCTTGTGTCTCTGCTGGTGGGGCGGCGTCAGTGGGGGCTGCAGGAGGTTCTGTGGCCTCTTCAGCAGCAGGCTGAGTCTCAGTGTTTGCCTCAACTGTGGCTGAAGATAATGCGGGCATCTCTGGAATAGTTGCTGCAGCAATCTGAGTATCTATTACAGGCTCTGCAGCCTCTACGGGTGCTGAGGATTCACTTGGTGCTGAAGCCTCATCTGGTACTACGGCTTCAGCTGGTGCCACAGCCTCGCTTGGCGCTGGTTCTGCTTCTGAGGATTCAGCTGGTGTTGCTGAAGCAGTCTCTGGAGCCTCTGCCTCCACAGGAGCAGCCACTTCTGCAGGGGCCTCAGCGGCCACACTTACTGCCTCTTCCACAACCACTGGGGCCTCTGCTGGCTCAGATATAACAGGTTCAACAGCAGGGGGGGCAACTTCAGGTGAGGCCTCAGTTGGCACAGCAGTGACCTCCTCAACAACAGCAGGGGCCTCTGCCTGCACCGCTGCAACAACTTCAACAACAGGGGCCTCTTCTGTAGCCTCAGCGACGGCTTCGACTTCAGACGTGGCCTCGGCTACTACAGTTTCTACAGGGGCGACTTCCTCCACAGGGGGCGGAGCCTCCACCGCCTCCACAGCAGCCTCGGGTTCAGCAGAGACTTCGGCCGGAGCAGCAGCAGGAGCCTCTGGAGCTGGCTCTTCAGGGGCAGCAGGCTCTGGCTGCGGCTCAGGAGCCGCCAGAAGGTCTTCTCCAGAGCCCAGATCCTCCTGGGCCTCCAGGGCCACTAACACGGCCTCCGTCTCATCATCAGCTCCTGGTTGAAGATCATCTGGTAAGGCAGTCTGCACAGGCAGCTGCATCTGGTCCTCGATGGTTTGTGCATCTTCTGCGATGATACCATTTCTGACTGCTGTCAACACAGGCACAACAAAAGCTTGATTAGGATTTATGACCGTGTGACACTAATCAATCTCCATCAGTCCTTTCAGCTGCTGATGTCCTGTTAATCTGTAACACATGACAACACTGAGCAACAAAAAGTCTTCAGGAAGTTTACTTATTTGAATTAATGGGAAACTTGGTGGGGGGTCGGGGTCAGTCCTTGAACTGACCTGAATGGTTTCATTAACAAATGACCACACTTGTCATTAATTCATCAGTTTAACATCAGCTGAATTATCAATAATTAAGTGCTACATGACAAGGTGTTATGTATATTCCTGTATACTACTTTCTTGAATAAATACGTTTATTAAACTAATTTCAAAATAAATGTCCTGAAAAGCTGTTAAAATCATACACTAATAAAAAGAAGTATTTCATTAAACAGAAACAATGCATTTTATATGCACGTGGACAATCATTTATCAGTGTGGATTACTTTAACCCCCTAACCCATGAATATTGACTCAACCTGGCATGCAGGAGATAGGAAATAAGCAATAAGGGGCACAGAGGGAGCGTGCTGAGGAAAACATCCTTTCATTTCCGTGGCTGAAAATATGGTTTATTGAAACCTGTGTTTGGTTAAAGCCCTGAGGACAAAACAGTCACTCTCTAAGGAAATAAAATACACGTGACCGTGTCTCTGCTGCCTTTGTAGAGATGACTGTACTTTTGTTTACGTCCCCTGATGCCTGTTCTTATAGGTTTGCGCGTGAACAGGCTTTGGGAAAAACTATAGTAGATGAGGAAAAATAGTGGGCTTGGATACTTTAACTCAAATGTCAGCGCACATCTCACTTACAAGAATCGCAACAACCTAACAGAAGCTTTTGGTGTGTATTATCACTTTACGGATAACTGGGGGCACATTGTTCACAAATGAGACAAACCAGAGGGTTCAGTTGGCTGACTGGGTGGACAGTTTGGACGCTGCAGCTTCCTGATTTTATTTGTGCGTCAGAACGAGTAAAAGGAGCTGAGAGTGATGGGTGGAAGGGAATGTGACGGCCTGGCAACTCCAATGAAAATGAGCCAGTGGAAGAACACGCAAAAACAGAACAGTATTTAGGTAAAGTGAAATACACTTTATACAATATCACATTCGAGCTAAAAGTGTATCAATGTTGAGGTAGAGGTGTTTTAAACAACCTTTAAATCATTGTAAAGTTTGTGGACTGTCTTTAAAAGATTTCCAACATGTTCTCCATCAGTGTCCTGTCCTGTAATCAGCCAAACGTCTCACAGAATAGAAAGCTGTTGTCTGAACACTGGGCCAGAGCTGCTGCTGAAAGGTCTGAATGTGTTTGGGTCGAGACAGAGACAGCGTCCCCAGACATGGATGACTTGTGTGTCAACATGATTTAGCAGCCAAAGATGACAGAGATCCCAGTCAAAACAGTGGCATGGCTGGCCAGAAGCACAAGAGGGGGGGGGGGGACGGGGAAGGGGCCCGGAGGGGGGATGGGACCAGTGGTGACTTGGATGGCAAACAGTTGGTTTGTTAAACAGACTGTGTACTGTATGATTTAAACCACTTTTAGAGAAGACTACAATAAGTGGTTTCTCTGTTGTTGGGTGATGTAAGGGCCTGGAAAGAGACCCGAGCTTCTCCAGGTGACAACAGCTGGCTGGAGAGACAATGCCCTGACACAAACATCACACAGAGACATAGTGGAAGATGGAAATGCTGTATGGACACAGAGGAAACTATGCCAGGTGTAAGAACTACAGAACACTTTAGGCTACTGTCTCTAACAGTTATTCAAATGAAATCTTTAACTTGACTGGAACTAAAGGAAAACATTTTCTAACAACTATCATGTTGTTCGTATGTGCGTGTGAGTGTGTGTGTGTGTGTGTTTGTGTGTGTGTGTGGGGGGGGGGGTTCAGTGACAGCATACTGTACATGCAGCCGTGCCTGGTATGACACAGCCATGTGCCAGTAGGGTGTTGGACCTATGAATGGACAATCATGGTCTGTGTCAGGCCTCTTGGTGGGCGACTGCACAGGCTCAAACACAGAGTAAATATGTAAAGTCAGACAAACCAACAGAGCCTGCCAGCATGTTTGGACGCAGGACTGTCTCAGGACAGACTTTACTGTCACAGGCAGAGGAATTCCAGAGCAGCCTGAAAACATTTGGGGCCATCAATCTTCTGGCCTCTCCTCTTTTGCCTTTGTTATCATGCATCTATTGTGTGTGAGAGCTCTGAATTCCTGAAGCAAGTTTCCAGCACACATTATCATGCATACACAGATGATAATCTGACTGACTTTTTGTTTCTGCACACAAACTTTGGAAGCATGAAGCAGATTGTCTGCTGGATCTCATCCTTTTGATCTTGTGGAGAATAAACAATTTCGTGTGTGTGAAAAATATCTTAAGTCTCAAAATCAGACCACTGCAGAAGAGGCAGCAAACAAGTCAGGTAGCAACTCTTGCCTCAGGTGTAAATCGACTGCTAAACATGCCCAGCCGGCTTTCACACAGTGCTACTGAAGGAGCTGCTTGAAGTCCTAGATAAATTCTACCAATGTAGTTTAATCTAAATCTCCGGTGTGTTTTACGGAATGAGGCAGAGAATAAAACATCATGAAAGTCAGTTTCGTCCTCAGGTCCTATTTCATCAGTAAATCGTGCAGTGGAGTTTACAGTTTTTGTCAGAGGATGTCATGCATAAAATGACTCACTAACAAGTAAATGTCAACCACTTCTGTGCATTGATGAAAAAATGGCTCAGCATGAATAATTCTGTGCACTGCAGTGTCCTGTGCTGCAGGGTAAGTGAAAAAGCACACGGTGTACCAGACCTACCAGCAGCACTCACACACCCCTCAGCAAGACCTCTCTCAGAGTCACAGAGAAACTACTGTACATATCTTGAGAAAATGTATATATCATATTTCGTGCTCATCCACCAGTCAGAAAACACACAAAGAGCAAAGATTAATGACACTTTTAAACATTTAACCTCCACAAAGGTTTGATCACTACTTACCTACTGTGTCTCCATTGCTCTCCTCTGGCTTTGTACCTGGTCTTTTCTCTTGATCCACAGTCTGTGCACTGGATGAGGAGCACCCCATGTTTGACAAAAGCGAGCTGCGATGCACCAACAAAAAAAAACTTGGAACCTATTGAGGAGCAGACACAAGTCCCAGTGCTCTGTTTTAGCAAAGACAGAGAGCGCCTAGCAGTGAAAACATGGACAGCTGAACTCTCTTTAGTTCCTAAGAGAAGCTGAACACCATTATCTCCCTGTTTGTGTGTTCATGCATGGCCTGCTGCCCTCTTGCCCCAGACAACGATCTGTTGTGAGCACACAGCTAAGCAGTGCAGCCACTACAGCTGAATGTTCCTTGACTGCTTCCTGCTCACAGTCACTCTATTCATACAGGAGGAGGAGGCAAACGTGTGCATGAAGTGTGTGTCCTCCCCTTTACAGAGGAGGATCCCCTCTGGAGGAGATCCACCACCTTGTGGCAATGTCCAGAGTAGCACATGCACAGTTTATCTTTTCTCCTCTTCTTCTTATAGCGTCAGTGAAGGGATGTTGTTTGGATATTGACTGAACAGCTTTCATTAAATTCTGTGTAAATTCTTGTTGTGACAATGAGAAGACTTGGAAATAGTTTAGAAGTCTCCGATATCATCACAAAACCTGATAAAAAACATGATGTAAAGAGTTAATCTGTGAGTTTCCTGTTCAAAAATGTATTTATTTGACTTTGCATTACATAACAAAGAACATTACAGACAAAAAGACACTGAATACATTGTCTTAGATACAAAAGTGTATAAATAGCTTCCGTAGAAAGCATTGCATTTGCATAGTTTGTTGCGGACGATTAAAGGGATCCTGTGAACGTTTCACCGCAGGTTAGAGGACGGACTCAGACGGACAAGTCTAGTCCTTTTATTTGTGCACAAGTTGACTCTCGAGTGTCTCCAGCTTCTTTGACATGGCTTCAAGTAGGCATGTTAAGGAAAGATGTGGATCCCAATGAAAACACAATCTACCAGGTTAGGAAATGTCTCCCACCACGTTTGTCTCTAAAATCACAAGGAAAAGAAAAATTATTGTACAGTGTGTGACCCCTGCTGAACCTATATTGGACCTAATAATCGATCATAGTTCCATACTGTATTATTTTCCAGTGTGATTCAAAGTTTAAAAAGGCACAACACAGCACACAAATGACATATGGATCATTTTTGCACTTATAAAGATAACTTGCTGCAGCTGCTGTATAGTCTGCCCTGGAAAAGCATCCCAGACTTAAAACTGTAACCACAGGTAGCTGTCTATCCATCTGCACAGATATTTAGCATTGGCAGATCTGCCCAAGATCAATAAAAAAAAAACACACTGAATGTCAGGTTAATCTGGAGCCGACAGCTATTCAGAAAAGGATATTATTCTGCACCAGGTTCTTCAGCTTCTCAGTGACCTGGTTTTGAAACATCATCACGTTCTCACACTGACACATGTTGACATCAGACGGTTTGTCTGTGGGGAAAGAAGAAATGAGATGAGAAAATCCTCTTGTCCTTGGGTCTGTTTTTATCTTCTCTCACCTTCTCGCTCTCACCCTTTTCCTCACCCTGTCTTTTAAATCTCTCCCTGTGGGTTTCCCTCCCTGTCTCTGTCTGCAGAAAAGATACAGTCAGGAGTGCACGTGGCTGCAGAGTAGAAAATGAGTTATATGATATGGAGAACCGCATAGCGCTGCTGCAGAAAGAAAATCAGTGATCATAATGGCAGCAGTAGGTGGCAGTGATGCACCATTTTATTTACTGAACATTGGCAGTGAACAGGGCTATTAGTAATCTGATTTTTATTTAAACTAAGAGCAGTTTAACAGAACTTTGGAGACTCTGTTTGTTGTGTTGTTCTGGTGACAGACTTCTTGTTTGACGGAGTGAGTTGAGTACCTGTACATATCCTGGACTTGAGCTTCTTTGTAATTTCTCCCATTTTTTCAAAGTCCTCAGCATAATAAAGATGCTTCTCATCAGGCTCTGAGGCTATTTCTCTCAGCTCCTGTTCGATGGCTTTGCCAATACCCAAAACGTACATGGTGATCCCTGTGAAAAAAAGAACGGAAAACAGCTAAATCAAAGTTCATTTGATTAAAATCTCTAATGCAACAAATGTGGGTGGCAAGGCTACATAATGAAGTGTACCAGAGTTCTTTGCTTTAGTTGCCCATTCAGAAACATCGTCCTGTGATCTTCCGTCAGTGAACACAACGCTGACACGTGGGATGTTCGGCCTGGCGCCTTCTTTGGCTGAGAAGCTGAACTCAAACATGTGACGTAAGGCTGATCCGGTCATAGAGCCTCTCCCCATGTACTGCATCCGGCTCACGGCCTGTTTGACGCCCTGCGCTGTAGTGTACTGGCCCAGGGTGAACTCTGTGCGGACCTTGGTGGAATACTGAAGAAGGCCAACGTGCGTTCCTTTCTTGGAAATGTCCAGCGAGTCCACGATGCCGTTTACAAACTGTTTGACCAGCTCAAAGTTGGTAGGCCCCAGACTCTTAGAGCCGTCGATCACAAAAACCAGATCCATGACTCCATCGCCACACTCTGGTTCTGCCAGACATTAAAAACATGTTTTATATCTATTTATATAAATGAATCATTGAAGGCAATGGTCTATATCAAAGAATTCTGAGATCTTACTTTTGCAGCTCTTCCCATCTTCAGCCAACAAAAATCCTTCAAAACATCTGCAGATGTAGGAGTCAGTGGTGCTGACACACTGATGCTCACAGCGGTGGTCCACCGTCTGACACAGATCCAGACCTACAGAGAGCGGGATCAGTAGTATGTTGATGAATTATTTATCTGACTCAGTGTGAAACATTTGTAAAACATGATGATGATGATGATGATGATGTTGTAATCATCAAGAACCACCATCAGGTTTTCCCCAAGCAGTCATTCTGCTACATGAACCTCTCCAGCCCAAACACACACACATACACACAAACACACACCAATCCCGCCTGCACCCCCCTTCCCACCACCTCCTACATAAACCCAGACAAGAACACTAAACAAACTTCACATTATGATTGCACTACATGCCATAATCTGAATTTTAAACTGAAACCTGAACTATTAATGTGCATTACTGACACCATTTTACTTATTTATTCTTACTATACTATATAGTTCTTACTATTCTATCCTTCAATTTTTAAAATGGAGGTTTGTCTGCCTGTTGTATGTTGTGATTCCTCTGTCATGGTCATCAGTGTTAGAGATGTCTAGATAGATAGATAGATACTTTATTTATCCCCTAGGGGTAATTCATGGAAAAGGCTGCAAACACACACATCATAGTTGTAAATATCTGAAGCTATGAACGCTTCATCATGGTGAACACAGAATATTGCCTAAATCTGGGGGGAGGGGATTTTTATTTTTTTATTTTTTGTGAGCAGTGGGATTAACATTGACCTCCCATCCGGGTCAGAATTCATTCAAAATTATGTAACATGCAGACACTGTAACTGGGCAGAGAAGCAGTCAGAGCAACATGCTGATACTTCCTTCTCCCTCACACAAATATTATCTCTTTCTTTTTATACTTTTGACTGGAATATGAAGACTGAAGTCAGGCTAGTCGGTTTTACAACATGACATCATTCTCTTTAGTAGTATCCCAGCGCTCGGACTCACTCTGACATGTTTTGCCATCAGGTCGCAGTGTGTATCCTTCTCTGCATTTACACACACATGAATCTTCTGTGCTCATGAAGTCCTGCTCACAGCCATGATTCCCATCAGCACAGTGATCAGTCTCTGCAGCAAACAGTCAGATTAAAGGAGTAAATACTGAGAAAATAAAATAACTCTTTACTGCTTCTCTAATATATGAACATATATTCAATTTCCATATATGACATATGTACATATAAAATAAAAGCACATATGTAAAAATGAAACCTATTCGAAATTGGAATAATTTCATATATTAACTTATGTACATAAATACAGTATATATCCATCCCAAAGCCTGTCAGTATACATTGATATTATATTCAGTAGCATCCAAAAGTCATAGACAACTTTCCCAGAATGGGAAGATAAATATGTTTAAAATTGTATAAGAAATTAAGAAAAACATACATAAGCATATAGATTTTTTTATATGTTGATGTTGTTTTAATAAACCTGCATATGTAAATTGAATATATACTGTTAACAAATATGGTTGCAACATGTCATATATGATTAAAATTCCTCATATAAAGATTTTTTAAATATATAGATTTTACTATAGCTATTTCAAATAGAGACATATAGGGACGTATATGTCATATATTACATTTCTATAGGGGGACCCATGCAAAGGATTTATCCCCTGTGGTGCTTAAATGCATCATGTCTACATCCTAATAATATCAGTCAAAAACAGATGAATGGCATCATTCTTGTTTTCCATTTACATCTGAGCCAGTTCTACTTCTACACATGCATGAGTCAGCTGTGTTTTCATCCTCCTCTTTACATCCATACATCAAGGGCACAGCAGTCGAGCTCTGCAATGAATCATTTTTAGCAGAGGAAGATGGTGATGGTGTGTTGCATCTGTCTTTTTGTGACCGATGAATGTACAAGAGTTTATAAACAACAAATACTTCCCACAATTAAATATCGTGTCAGCAAAAACTTTGGTCCAAAGTTCAGATATCTCAACAACCACTGATCTACTCTATCATTGCCCCCAAATGATGAATCATAATGTTTTCGGTGACCTCCTGCAATTTTCTGTTGTACCATCAGACCAAATTTCTATTTGTATATGTGTATATATATACTGTATATATAAATCTAATGGAGAGATGATATAACATTTAGTACAGTCATAATCCATACCCACTTTAAAACTTCACAACATCAACAACAAGTAAATTAGGTTTAGGGTCATGTTTGCAGTCATGTTGTACTCAACCACAAGGGCTAATTGTTCCGACAGTGCTGTAGCACAAACATAGGTTCAAGGACATCTACAACAGATATTAATCCATGTTGCATTGATTATGTGAATCACTAACTTCATGGTGAAAGAAGTGTTGATGAAAATCTTTCTTTCTTCATTGAATTAACAGCAATAAAAGGAGAGAAGCACAGGGTACTTACTCTTGCAAGTTTTCCCATCAGGTCTGAGTGTGAAGCCTTTTCTGCATTTACACACACAGGAGTCTTCTGTATTAATAAACTCCTGTTCACACCCATGGGTGCCATCAGCACAGTGATCAATCTCTGGATGAAATTAGACAATAATAATTTAAAAAAAAGAGCAGAGAGATTGTTGCTTTGTTTACACTATGAATGGATGAATCAATCTCTGCAGGGAGTAGTCACTTTACTGCAATTAAGGAGGAATTACTTAGAAAACTTGTTGAGCTATTGTATTGAATGTATAGAGCATTACATATCATGTAAATTAAAAACCCATTATTGTTTAAAGCAGTAGTTTTCAAAGTGGGGTCCTTGAGGGGGCTCCTGGGGGTCCCCAGCAAAAAGGGGAATCATTTATTTTCATTATAATTCCATCCATAAGTTATGATGATGATTATGAGTATGTTGGGTTTCAAACGCCTTCTGTAATAAAACATCTAAAAACAAAAATCTTATCAGATGGTGGTCTGTGGTTTACTTTGTGTCAGTTTAGGTCCTTGAGATGAAAAAGTTTGATAACCACTGGTTTAAAGTGTTGTCTTGTCTCAAAGTGTAAAGAAATCCTTGAACCTCTTTTATGAAATAACAGCAAGGAAGCCAAAAAAAAAAAAAAAAAGCATTTGACACTTACTTTTGCAAGTTTTCCCATCAGGCCTGAGTGTGAAGCCTTTTCTGCATTTGCACACACAGGAGTCTTCTGTATTAATAAACTCCTGTTCACACCCATGGGTGCCATCAGCACAGTGATCAATCTCTGGATGACATTAGACAAAAATAGAAAAAGAGCAGAGAGATTGTCGCTTTGTTTACACTGTGAATGGATGAATCAATCTCTGCAGGGAGTAGTCACTTTACTGCGATTAAGGAGGAATTACTTAGACGCTGTGGAGCTATAACTCAGGCCAAGATTTTCATTCGTGCATTGGACATATCAAAATATTATGGATAGATTATATGAAATCTATTAAGAGGATGAACTCCACCCTTCTTCTATTCTTCCTATTATTCTATTGCATCAGTACAAACAGAGGAAATCTAACACCAGACTGAATATCTGGATCAGCATGACTAGTTTTCATGTACAGCCCCAATACTAGTCCTTAAGAGCATCTGAGGCAAGTCTTTCCACGAGTCATCAATTCATCACATTTCCTCATATACACTTCAGTATTCTATCCGTATTAATGCTGCGCTCTTACTCCACTTCAGAGACAAACGGTAGAGATCCTGTGTGCAAACTAGGTCAGTGGAACATCTACAGATATGAATGTATACAGCAGCAGTTGTCGACACTTACTCTTGCAAGTTTTCCCATCAGGTCTGAGTGTGAAGCCTTTTCTGCATTTACACACACAGGAGTCTTCTGTATTAATAAACTCCTGTTCACACCCATGGGTGCCATCAGCACAGTGATCAATCTCTGGGTGACATCAGACAAAAACAGAAAAAAGGGCAGAGAGATTGAGAATGAGAATGTGGCCAGACTTGGACTTTGTCCTATTTAGTATTCGTCTGTTCTCAGAAACTGAGGCGACCTGCTTCTCTCTGCTCAGCCGATGCTGTAGAGTGACGGTGTGTGTTCAGTCACTTACTGCTGCAGGTCTTGCCATCCAGGTTGAGGACGTAGCCCTTCTTACACCTGCAGATGTAGGACTCTGGAACGCTGACACAGTCGTGCTCACAGCCGTGGTTCCCCAGGTCACAGAAGTCTATTTCTGAAGGGGGATAAATCTCAATTATTCTACTTCTTCTACTGCTACTGCAGTAACTAGAATATATAAATATATAAACGCACATAGTATACACAAACACAACAGACAATAGAGTCTTTCATTGAGAAATCTATCATTCTTTCACTCAAAATCAATAGTCACTCTGGTAAAGGTGCAGCGCTGTGAACTCAAGATCAAACAGCCCTTCTTGTTTTGATTTGGCAAAACTGTGACACCCTGAATACGCCTCCACATTTCACCAGCTGCTCTGATGATTGCAAAAGCACACTTCCTGCAGGAAATCTCCCACACTTAATATCAGTTAATATCCACCAGAGGAGCAACAGGGACGTTTTCCAGCCGTGGGTGGAGGGACATCACTAGTAGGAGGAATGCTGGCTCTCATTTGGATTGGAGGTCCATCAAAATTACACGCATTGTTACTCACCTAACATTTTCTACACTATTTTGCCTTCAAGGTGGAGTCCATGATGTCACATAAAGACTATTCTAAAAAGATAATTGTAATTTTTTGTGTTTTCATGATGATTTAAGTCACGTATGGAAGTAGATACGAGTAAGACCTGCACAGTAAATCGTGGTCTACTAGAGAAGATTGGTCCAACGTGTCTCATTTTGATGGACTTGCATTACAGCTTCCACTGGTCTACGTCTCACTGTGTGTGCATTGTCAGAATTAGAAATACAATGATACTAAAAATATTCTCATGTCTATGAAACTGAGTAACATTTTTGTTAGGGTTAGTTTGGATTATTGCCACACACACAATCATATTAAAATGAAGTAAAAAAAAAAAAAAGAGGACGTAAAGACAGAGGTTAAGGCCACTAGTGATGAAGAAGAAAGAGAAGAGTTCCTGGTAACGTAAAAAATGTATTTTTACTGTTGCACGTCTTCAGGTCTATGGTGAGTTGATACCCCGGCCGGCAGCGACACTCATAGCCGTCATGCAGGTTGGCGCAGATGTGCTGACAGCCATGATCCACCTCAGCACACATATCCTCAGCTACAGAGCGACAACATGGAGAGAAATCCATAACCTCTGTCATCTACTGTGGAATTAACAGAATTAAACCTGCAACAACTGATTGTTTCGTCGGCCAAAACAAACTGTAACACTGACATATTATAATTTCTTAGCAAACAGATGCTTATTTACATGTCCAGCAGATACAGAGAAGTATGTGTTTTGAGTTTGCACCCACTGGATGAAGATAATTCCAATATTTTCTCTCCTATCAGCTCTGTTTTGTTCTCCACCAGCTGTTCGGCTCTTTAGCTATTGCTCTAACTGTGTCTGCTCTTTGGTGCTACATCCAGTGTACAGTGGACTTTTTTGTTGCCAGTCTTCTGCAGTTGATGAGAGCCGTGAGAGTGAAGCTAAACAGTAAAGTTGTGGGTGATAAAATCAAAACAATGAGCTGAAGGACATTCAAACTCTGTCACTACAGAGATTTGTCGCTACAAGTGACCTCTTGTCATGTCATGTTTCCATTGATTATACTAGATTTAAAGGTGCTATATGTAAGTTTTTGCTATTGCTACATAGCCAACGTTAGTATTAATAGCTGTTTACTTACCAGTCTAGAAAAACATTTCGAATTCAGCATCAGACTTCATTCCTTTACTCAACTAGAGTTGTCTCCAGCAGTGGAAAGCAACACCAATGTTAACTCTTGTTTTTCTTTTATTTCCATCACTTTTCTTCTACTGAAGTTAGCATGATAACCAGCAAGCCCCAGTCCAGCCAGCCCGTCTTGTCACTTTCTGTTACTGAGTTGCTGTCGTTCAGGCTGCCTTGAAGATGTAACGCTGCTCAGAGCAAGTGTTGTGACCTACTGTCTTGTAAATGCGACATGTCTGAAGCTTAGCTCCTTTAAAGTAAAAACAGGAGACCTTCACTGTCTCTTCTACCATATATGAATCAGTTCAAAGTGTAATTTTGCAAATCCTGATAGCCATGTTTTTATCATGTTGTCAAAGAAAGTGAAGCTGCTATGTAAAAAGAAGACTGTGGTTGCACTGAACAGGCTCAGAGGATGATGACTGTGCAAATGTAAAAAGAAGAAAAAAGATTTTAGCTGAAAAAAACTTGCCTTTAAAATAAAGAAAAAAACAGTTCCTTCACCTTTACATGTCTTGCCATCAGGGTTGAGGGTGAAGCCTTTCCTACACTTGCACCTGTACGAAGCAGGGCTGCTCACACAGATATGTTGGCACTGATGATCCACAACCTCACACATCTCTGAACCTAATGCATGCAGGGACACACACCAACACACAGGCTCAAACAAATGGAAACACACATGCTTGCATAAATGACTAGAATCAAAAGAGAAGTGGATGGGATTCATCACCTCCACACAGTTTGGACTGGAACACGGAGATGAGGGTTTCTATCTGGCTGAAGTTGGCCACCAGGTGCACATGCTCCGAGTGCGGCTCGCTGCCTATGGCCTTCAGGGTGTTCATATCCACCCGGCCCACTCCGATAGCAAAGATCTGGATGCCAGCCTGCCTCGCCTGAGCTGCTACCTCCTCCACCGTGTCCTGAGGCCTCCCATCAGTCACAATCATAGCGATTCGTGGGATGTGCAGGTTCGCTGGCCGTGCTCCCTCCTCCTCTGTGAAGGCAGTCTCCATGGTGTACTGGATGGCCAGACCGGTCATGGTCCCTGTGGCGAGGTGCTCCATGTTCCTCACCGCCTGCTCCACCTCAGCCTTATTGTTGTACGTCTTGAGGGAGAACTCAGGCTGGACCACGCTGCCGTACTGGAGCAGACCGACCCGTGTGGCATCAGGGCCAATCTTGAGGAACTGAATCAGGTTGATGATGAAGGTCTTGACCTTCTCGTAGTCATTGGGACGGATGCTTCTGGAGCTGTCGATGACAAAGTAGAAATCCAGCGGGACGGCTTTGCAGGGGTTCTCTGTGATGAAAGAGTTTGTGATCAGGGAACCAAATTCAAGACATAATCTGAACCAGATTTGAAGATCTCTTTGACTTTGTATTTTAGACAAAAATGCAACTGATGAAACAAACAATAACTAATCACTTACCCCCTGCTTTGATTTGGACAGAAGTCAAATTTTGCCTCCTGGCTCTGATGGGTCTGGGACGGCGTTTGTCCAGCTGAACTGCATTACAGCACAACAGGCAGAAGAAGCCAAAGGCCAGGAACCTCATCCTGACGGTGACAACTGCAGCATTTACAGAGAGATAAAGTCACAAAAACAAGAACTGGTAGAGACTAAATTTGTCTGCAAGTGCACAGTTAAAGTACGAGAGTATTTATGTCAAGTTGTCTAATAAACCAACTAATTTGGGTTAATCAAAAATATTTCATGTACCAGTTAGGTGCCTGATTTCGCAGGTGTAATGTTAGAAAGAACAGTTTTGTCATTCAAAATGGAGAAGAACTGTAAAGATTCATGACTAAATAAGCAACAATCAAAGTTAAAGTTCAGATAAATAGAAATAAAGTTATTGTTAATTAGAAGTTCAGTTGTAAACTCAGATAATCTGTGTCATCAGGGTGAGGTTTGATCAGAGTTGAAGTGATGGCAACATAAGAACACCATCATAACATTTTGATGAATATGTTAAAAGTAATCACAGGAATAAATCACCTTTTCCCAGCCCCTACAAACCAGAGAGATGAGAACAGACATAATCACAAAATACTGAAATCTCTCATATAAAACAACTAAAACTCCAAGCTCTGGTGGGAATTTGTGTTTTCATGTTCAACTTATTAGAAGCTGGTTGAGAAAAAAAAGGTTTTCAGTTTTTTAAGTGAACTTTTAAGTCACTTTTACATCTGTGTCTCACAGTTCAAGATTTGTGGATGAAAATGTTACATGCTTTACTATGGGCCACATGGTGCGGCTAATTTTAATAACTTTAGCTGTGGCTCACAGCCTGGGATTTACCGTGTAATTTTGTTGTATGAAGCAGGTACCAATAAAACGTTTCTGGTTCCTACTGGGTCCTTAATGTAACTGCAGTGAAAGAAAACAAGACCATGGAGAACAAGAGAGTTACAACTGGGCATTGTAGAGAAAAGGAGAAAAACATTTTTGTAAATGCTAGATCTGTTACAGTACTGGGAAACAAAACTGAATCAAAACTTGATTCTAAAATCCCCATTTGTTACTCCTTTGCAGACACAGTTTATTCATTTTAGTCATTCAGTTTATTCATATAACAAATTACACTGTAAATCATGGACCATATTACTGCATATAGTATTCTTTTGCCTATTCCTATTATCTAACTTAACACCAAATTTTACTGAAATCTGTTGACTATTGTTCGAGATATCTTGCTAATTATAAGACAAACAAATAACCATACAAGACTAAAACACCTCCTTGGTGTAGCCTAGGAAACAAATATAGTGACAGTGTCAGGAAGTTGACTAGTGAAGTGCGACGTACAAGTTAATGATGAAGAGGGATATAAATAGGAAGAACTTTCACCTCTTGCATATTTGACCTTGCCAGCTTCAGATTTCACACTTTAGTGTGTATAATTGTATTACACTCAGTACGGCACAGGACTTGGAAAGCCACGGGAAAAGACAAATTCCAGATATGATATTGTGTTTATAAATGGATCATATTTCCTCTTTAATTTAAAGCAGCATTCCACCTGGACTGTGTTCCTGAACACGTGTTAGTTACACAGGAGAGGCATGTTTTCCCATCTACCATCATATGAAGTTGACAAAACTCCATATGCATGGGTTTCTGGATGTTTTGCTGCACAGGTGGTGTAACGTGATTTACTACAAGTACTACAGACTGTTTCCCTATTCAGTCCCCAGGAGAGCCATTCTGTCATATTCAGACTACAGGCTGAGCTGCCGTCTGAAACCTGTCTTTCAATCCATGTTCAAAACCAGAATGACGTGGCATTAGTCTAGTCTTGTTCTGAAGCAACATGTAGGTTACTGGATTCTGTGGATTTCTAGATGGAGTTGTGAACAGCTCCATCAGCTCCGTCCAATGTGATGACACTGACTCAGAGCTCGGTCTGTTTGCAGCTCTGCTGGATGAACAGTCCCACACGGATATACTATGTGTATGGTAGCTGCTGACCTGAGACCTGCAGGGGTCACATATCCATGTTGCATCCCACATGGAGCTTTTGACCTTTGACCTCACATGTGTTTGATGCCGTTGTACCACAGACAGGTCTGACAGTGTTTTCTTCATTAACAACTATCAGTACAAGTCAGTACAACATGTGTGCAGTGCCACGGTGTCCGTCATTCACTGGCATGTCTCAGCAGATGATTCATTTTATATGTATATCAGCTGGAGAAAAAAAAATATCTTCCAAAACATTAAACCTAAGATGAAAAGTGATCATGATAAACAACTGATACATCAGCGCAGGAACATGAAGTTAACTTTTACATTTTCTTTAAAATAAATATGAATAATTACAGTAAATCCACTGTTGTCAGTTGTGTGTGTGACTGAAATGGTTGAGCGCAAATCAAACCCTCTCACGTTTCCTCATGAATTAAAGCCGAGGCGGTGTGTTTACGATGGAATACAAAAACAGCATGTACCTGTGGTTTATGGGACCCGATCTGTTATGCACATTCACTGTGATGGTTTTTCATGATGCAGTGATGGAAAGTAAGTTGTTTCCTAACCTATATCTGAACTAAACACAGAACAGATGACAGCTGGTGATTCCTCTTCTTACCATGGTTTAGAAAAAGCTAAATAAAAAGTATTAGGCCCCCAAAAAGATATTGCAGGTATCTTCAACTAAACAGACTCATGTTTTCAGGAAGATAAATCAAACCTCTTACCTTTTTATGAAAGCTAACTGTTTCTCAATTCCTGCAATAAAAGTCTCTGAAGAAATCCCAGCACTGAGTCAAGAGGAGTTCCAGCAGGAAAAATCTGTGCAGTAGCTCCAAACTGTAATCATGCATATATCCCAGCGCTGTCTTTTTCAAAGTGTGCAGGCTCTTTCATTGCTCTGCTCTTTACTCCATCCACTCTCTGTTTCTGTGTACTCCCACTCTGACTTCAACCACGGGGACGCCTCTTGTTCAGCTGCGTCTATTGGTAAAAAAAAAAGTCACTGTGGATTTCGTTCACATTCAGATACTTTTACTAACATGTAGCTGGGACTGAATCTCTTTATTTTACAACTTCAAAGCCCTGAAACATTTCATACTGATATCTAAGTGGAGTCAGCATGAGGCGCCACAGTTTGTTCTTACATTAAAGAATGTTAAAGAGTTTAATGACATTACAAAAACTTTTGTTTTTTGTCCTTTATCATTTCAGATTCAGGGACATTGGAGGCATTAAATTCAAATATTCAGAGCGTTTTGACATCCTTTATGCATATTATAGGGTGTGTGTACAAATCATGCAATGATGGTTTTATCTTTTTTGCAAGTTTGTATAATTATGTAAAAGTTTTGTTTATTGCACTAGGACTATCTGTCATACACCCGATTCTTTATCATAATGAGTAGTCAGTTATTTATTTGTGTGTACACTATTTATTTGCACTAGTGTTGTCCATGTTGTCCTGTTATCGTCCTTCTCATTATAGTTACATATGGTACAGTAGTTGTTTTGCACCCCTTCCTTTCCTTTTCTTAATGTGTACAGTTGTCTCACACTAGTTGCGTGTTCTTTGTAGTGTATTGCTGTTTATTCAATGTGTTTATTTAATGTATTGTATTAAATGAATTGGGTTTGAGATGAATTCATTGATTCTACTAAGTGTAAAGGGTTAAGATAACATTTAAAAGATCAGAATCTGCATTTGTGTTAGATTGTGTTCTCTTATATCTCTGACAAGAAATTGTGTTGTGAAGCTGGGGTATTTGAGGGTTTACATGTTTGAAGTCTTCAAACCATTTGTCCTCTGGTGTAATATGTCACAGCAACTGTGAAAGAGGTGTATTGTAAGGTTTACAAGTGAAGCTTGGTTGAACTCTCTGTATCCCCTGTCAAGGAGGCATGAAGCAGCAGGTTATGGAAAGACCTAGTAAGTACAGCCATCACAATTCCAGCCACTCTGGTGGTACTTGCGTACCACACAATGAGCCCATTTATATACCTCTTAGAAACAGTTTCCAGGCACAGGGTGGAGGACAGTCAGTGGCAGAAACAATCACATTTTCCTGCTAAATCATTTGTTAATGGGTTGTGGGACGTATAATTCAAATAATATACCTGAAATTGGCCTCAACTTCATCACACATAAGCTCAAAATAAAACACAAACATTTGTTGGTGAAATTGGATTTTAATAGACAAATAAATGTCACATCTTTATTTTTCATTCAGCAGCAGTCTTCAACTTTGACTTCTGTGTCCTTGCAGGGCATTTTGTGTCCAGAGAGCAGCTCGCCAATATAAGTGCATCTGGTGGAATAGACTCATGTGTTTACACAGACCAGACGCTCCCATTGGCTTAATTGAAAAAACACAACCAGGGTCCATATTTACTGAGCCCCTAAATGTAGAGAGGCCCGATCTAGAGTCATTGCAACACGTTCCCTCGAGCAACTCACTCATAGTAACTTCAAAGAGCAAACTGATTCCGGATCAGTGTTACTTCTGTGCTGTCAAAATAGATAAATAGCAGCTCAAGACATTTCTTGTCAGTCAGTAGAAACACACAGTTACATTTAAAAGTTAGGAGGGCCAACCAGCACAGCCCAACACTCCTGATTTTCACAACAGACGACAACTCAGTCCGCAGGTGAATAAAACAGTAAAAGAAGGTGATATGTTCGATATAGACTAGGCTGCTCTAGGACCATGTCAAAATACAGGCAGATTCATTTCTTTGGGAGAACTTCCAGTCAAGGTAACACTTTACACTCAGGTCTATAAAGTGCACCCCATCAGAGAGAAAGTTATGAATGAAGGCAATTCAACCCTGATCACGAGCAGAGACACGACAAACAGGAAACACATGATGACTCTTCACTCATTACTGAGGGCAAGAATAACATTTCTGCATAAGTTAAATATGAATATCAAAGTTAGGACTCACAAAATATTATCACAAGTACACACAGAGCATAAAAATATATGTAATCTATCTATCAAACTTTCTAGTGCTTTCATATGTTACTTCACCCAGTTTCAAATGCATGAATCATTTCTGGAGTTATACCGACAGAGACAGAGAGGATACATGGGAGAGTTATAGGAAGAATACAAGTTCACCAATAAATAACAGGGAGGGGCGAGAGGTCACGGTGGTGATTGTTGTGTGTGCACGTGCATATGTGTGCATGCATGGATGTACTGTAATGTGTGTGTAGCTCCAATATATCCATGAATATACTGTACACCGGAGAGGCAGTGAGGTGCATAAATTCTGCTGGGGTTTCATTGACAACAGGTTCCAGTCGGCAGCATCCTGGCAATGTTTTCATGCTGTGGCAGTGGTGTAGGGTGGAGGAGGGTGCTTGGGAGGGACACTGAGACTGTCATCGTATGGAGGTAGCAGAACCTGAAGGTAAAGAGGGAAGAAGAGGAAAAAACAGCTTGTGGTTAGTATGAGTTGCTCTTTTGCAAACAAGCAGGTATAATTCAATATATGATAATATTATGATAGCTCTGTCAATCTCTGAATCTGCTTTTGTTAAAGTTGCGTAATATTACACCGGCTTTGGTGCAACTCCAAACAGAAGAATTAAATTGTTTAAACAGCCTTTTGGATTAAATGAAATATGTAAGCTCAGAGAAAACAAATGGCACAGAAACCCTCGTGATTCCTAACAGGCTAAACTGCAGGATTTCGACCAAATACCATTACGTAATATGTACAACCTAAGTATGTTAGGCAAGGCAACCTTATTTGCATGCCACATTTCATACACAGTCAAACAGGAGGCACTTTGAGCCTAAAACAGTAAATCTGATAGTGTAGCATTAGTAAGACTAAGAGTCTACAGACATGCTAGCAGCTCTATGAGACTGTACTGAAGTACAGTAGTGTTTTGAACTAAATGCTAACTTCAGTGAGCTAACATGCTCAAAATAATGCTAAGATACTGATGCTAAGTAAGTATAATGTTCACCATGTTCACCATCTCAGTGTGTTAGCATGCTATTTTTGTCTAATTAGCGCACCAGTATTGTAGTATTGACCTTAAAAATACTTCTACTTTACGTTAATATTTCCATTTCATGCTACTTTTTACTTCTACTCCACATCTCAGAGGGGAATACTGTCCTGTTTACTGCACCATATTTATCTGACAGCTACATTTACCAGATACTTTCCAGATCAAGATTCATGTCTATATTATATGATCTGTTTATAAAATATGTATTCTTATAGATTACTTCCCAACAGTATAAGTTGGTAGACATTAGCTCCATCATGAGAATATTAAGATGCTGCTTACACATACAGGTTAATAATCAGCAGTAGTTAAGAGATGTTGACTGGTCACTAACTGCCTGACTTCAGGACTCATTACTGAGGTCCTCTAGCGTTCTTTAGGAGTGAAAGCTATAACATGCATTGTTTTATCTTATCTAAAACTAAAGCCAGAGCTATCTGCCTTAATCCAGTATATTTTTCTAGTCTACTAATATATTTTCTATTAAATGGGACACTTCAATTGAATTGACAATGTCAGTTTTGAACTTGGGGGTAAACTGGGGGTGCACTGTTTGTGCAACTGGGTCGGGGATCGCGATCGAAATGATAGTGAAGTAACTGCTCGACCTGCTGTATCCAGTTTTTATACGACCAGACCAACCAATCATATACAAATAAACTTGAGTTATTTGAATGTGGCATATTTATGATTGATCAAACCAACAAGGACAAAATATAATACTTTTCAGTTATTTTTCAGAGTAGTAACTCAAAGTAGTGGATATACTGACATTTTGATCTGCTGATGACACTATATGAAAAGTCAGCTGATTCTGGAGTAGAATGGTAGATATAAGGTATATATGAAGTTGTCTACCAAATTTCATAGCAAATTCATCCAAAAAATGGAAAGACATTTAACCCAAAACCACAAATGTCAAAACCTCATGGCTGCCCTTGAGGGGAGGTCAGACGATTGTTAGTCATTGGACTTCATTGCCTGAGGAGCATGAATGTCTGTACATAATTTAATAGTAATCCATCTAATAGTTGTTGAGGTATTTCAGTCAGGTAGACCAACCAACTGACATTATCATCCCCAGAGCCAAACTGTTTTCTATTATTAATTTAAAAGTAATAGAAAAGTCAGGTCTTCTGGGAGCTGATTCCAGGTTTGCACAGCATGGTAGCCTAAGGCACCATCACTATATTTGGGTTTAATTCTGGGAACAATGACCAGGTCAGTGCCGAGCGACAAGAGCAGAAATAAACAGTCCATTATGATCAGTGGTCAGAGATGTATTTTAGGTCCTCAGCCATTCAATGAGGGATCTGTGGGTGTGTTGTCTGCAGGTATAAACTGTTTCAAAACAAAAAGGAAAAGTAATACATGGAGAGAAAGTGGGTGATGAATGAGATATGAGACACTGTGCCATGTTAAAGAACAAAGCAGGCGTCCAGATTTAGTTAAAAGGCTGTACACAGATTATCTAACTAGAGAGGGCAGATTTCCATTATTTATCCCGGACACTGAAAGTAAAAGTAGGTTAAGTGGTCACTGCTGCTAAATTTGGTTAATGAATCTCCATCTGCATCACAGATAAGTCTCACTTTGTGTTGCTCAGATCCCTGTTCTCTGATAGATGACAGATCTAGAGCTGTGTCCCACTGTGAGGAAACACAATTATAAACTGACAACATATTTCTCAAGATCTCAGATGTCATTCCTGTCTCCTTCTTACGTTCCTATACAACTAAACCGCAACAGCTAATGAGTTTTGTGGGAAACATAATCTCTGGCTGGATTATATTCAGATGTTTTGAATGAACGTAGTGCTACATTTCTTAACGGCAGTGGAGTCACCAGGAGGTGGTTGGTGGGTGGTTTAGGCAACAAAAGCAGTTTGGTTAAGGGTTAGGAAAAGATCATGGTCTGGTTTCATATACAGATAAGTTGACAGTGACTTCAGACAAATGTTTTTCTACATTTAACCAAACCCACGTACTGCTGTGAGTTCTTAAACAGAACCGTAACAATCTAACAATGCTGTAGTCACAACAAGTGGATGCTATCCTGCTATCCTGTCGGATATTTTGGCGGAAAACAAATAATTTCTCCCTGAACATTTTACTTCTATGTTCAGTATCAACGTATTTGTGACATTCCAAATACATACATTCACAACAACTCCTCAGTCTCATAAACAGACAATAATCTAGTCGCAATTACATTTCCTACAGAACGTTTTTGCTGTTGCATTTTTCTCAGGTTTGCTGCGATAAATCTGTTGACACACCTTTACAGGCCTTCAGACATAGAGAGAAATGATTGTTCTACGAGGTATTTCGGTTATTAACTTAACTTAATGTTGCTCCTTTAATACCAAATAAAGCACCTGACTGTGTGAGAGTGAGTCACTTCTCCATATGTGCAGGAGTTTGGCTCATATGGAAGGCATTAGTTGACCTTTAACCTAACCACTGTATAGTTGATATGCAGCCGTGCATGCTGCTATCCAAAAGCCACAAAGCTGCCTGTGATCTGTGGGGAGCTCTAATTAAATACGCCTGGCTCTAACTGCAAAAGCACACCTACAGAGGTGAGGCAGATGTGAGGAAATAAAGGGCCAGACTCCTGTTCTTCTGGCACTTCTCATTTATGATGTCAGTATGTTGGACGAGTCTCCCCCCCCCCCCTCCTGCCTGTTTCTCTCTTTACAGCTCAGGTGTTTTACGCATCAGGAGCCTGTGGACATTTCTGTTTCTTTAAAAACCCCAAAACATCACATAAAGCCAAGCAGTGTATAAAGCTGTTGAGCGAAGTGGATTGTGTGAAACTGTGTGGAATGTTACACTCAGAGGAGTCTTTTCTCAAAATACCTGTGAAACCCAGCGTACTGCAAGGTCAGATATCAGTCTTAATGGAGCCAGCTGCTCACAGCTCACATCTTAACTGCTCTGCGTTTCATGAGATGTCATTAGTGTTTTTACCATCTCATTTTTCTTCTCCCTTCTGTCAGAGTATAAGCAGTTATAATACATGTGTGGGCAGCAGCGTAGTCACGGTCCGAGGGCCAGACCTGGGCAACAGGACACCGACAGGAGACCCCAGCACAATCACACACAGAGCTCACTGTACTACTGTTGTGTCTCAATCACCATCATAATGGCTTTGCCAGGATGGAGCTTCATCTCTCCGTCCAACTCTGTTCATTCATCCGTGCTTATGTAGCCTATATGAAACGACCTGCTACGACAGCCCAGCATTACACTTCCTCTCCCCCACCCCCCCATCAACATGATGACTTTACAGCTGCCAGACTGGCCTGAACAGAGGAAACCTACGCAGATGATAAAAACGTGACTTGCGGTCTGGATTGAAAAAGGAAATCATTTTTCCACAGGAGTTGTTTTGTTGCCTTAAGAAGTGAAGAAGCAGCAAATCAAGATCAGACACTGTTTTATGTCGAATCTCTTGACGACAATATAGACATAAAGGATAGTTTAAAGGACAGTGTATATGGAAACAGTGTGTGTTAAAATGCACAAATACACAGTGATGATTTTATTTCTGATATGCTCCTCTTCACGTCTATGTTTCATTAATATCTGCTGACTTGTAAATTGTTTGATTTGCTTGTCAGACATTTGAATTTGTTGTGAAAATATTTCTCTTTCCGTTAATGCTGACAAACTGTAAACTGCACGTGAGGACTGTACATGTTGATGAGGTGAGAGGTGTCAGACTATTGTTGATTTTTTCACAAAGACGTCAGTAACAGCTCACTCTCAGGTGGTCTACAGTGTTTGTTTAACTGTTGTGCAACTTCCCAGTAAACTGAACAACTACATGGAATATAGACTCAGTGCAATGCCACCTCTTTCTAAAGGATAAGTCCAATGATTGTGATTTATTTTGACTCAGTTTCATATACGCCTTCCTGCTGCTGTAAATGCTCAGTAGTGCACAAAATGTGTATTAATCCACTTCTGAAAATAGTCCCTTTATGAAAAAAATTGCAGCTCCAGTGATTTGGATATTGCACTTGGCCATATTGCAATTTTGATTATATTTCGATTAATTGTGCAGTCCTATTTATGACAATTATTTGATAATAGCCTTAACCTTTAAAACCTGATTTTAAACTCTGGTAATATGGGTCTTATGGTACAGTGAAGATCATCAGAGGTCACTTACCGTGGTGTCATTGGTTGTAACATAGAGCAGGATTTCAGAAGTACCCCGGCCATTCACATATCTGTAGCAGTTCCACACACATGCTATGAGGTAAGCCTGATATCAGACAGGAAGAAAACAAGACAACAGATTACAAGATTGAACTGCATATCATAAAAATCTAATATCATCTATCAATGATACTCACTGTTTATTTTAATTAATTAAAGTAATTAATTAGTTTTCCAATATTTCTATTTCAATACTTGTGTCTTCACCTAACAGATGGCTGGTGTTTACAGTATGTGAACTGTGTACTTCAAAGCATTCATTTTTCAAGCACAGTTTTGTATTTTGTATTGTAGTTTCATGAAAAACATATTTTCCACATTATTATGGAAATTACTGTGTTCCAAAATATAATTAGGTCATCTTGTCCCCTGGGAAGCTGTGGTGCAAGTGTTGCAGCTCTGCAGTGTATTTTCGCATACAGACAAACACAGATGGCACCATGATAACATGCACATCATCGTCTCATAAGAGGCTGTCCTATCCCAACACGAGCAGTGTGCTATTCAAAGACACTAACACTGAGGAAACTCACATCAAATGTAAATTATAATTCATTCTTTCACTTGTTGTATTCACACTCTGTTTTCAGGGTCTATCTCAGGATTATACATTGCTTTAGAGTGTCATCTGTCATCCAGCAATCATCTGGCTCTCAGCAGGCAGTTTGCTACTGGAACTCCCCAGCCAATCACAACCATTTCATCCATCCATTAGCACGAACCAAAGCCAGACTGAGCTCTCTAACTTCTCTAATAACCCAATTAAGAAGCTGCTTTAAAGCTCTGACAGCTCAGTTATTTTAACTGCCTCCTCAGGAACCTAGAGACAGATCACTGACTCTACGTGTGCTGATGATGCTCATTGCTCAAAATGAATCATTCCCTGAGTCCAAAATGACCCCAAACACCACTGCTGATCCACAGATTCTGAGTGCACTACATGATGTTTGCACATTTGAAACCTCACCTATCTACGACAATAGACATAAACATAATAATAAAATATTATTGTCAACTGCTGCAGTTTGCCTTATGATCTCACAGCACTGGTTAATACAGAATGTTTTTGGGTGTCAGCAGAGTTTCATCACGACCACAACAGACAGTATCTGACATGGATCCTCTGTATTTACACAACACAAACCCCTTAGAAATCAGCAGGACTAAGCCTACAGCAATGCTAGCAGGTCTGTGAGGCTCTACATTCTCACAGTGATAATGTTACAAGCTGATATTTAGCAGGTATGTTTGCCACATTTTTCTTTAGCATGTTTGCATGCTAACCTACACACAAAGTGTAGCTAAATCTGATGGGATTGTCATCACCTTTGCAGGTTGCCTACTATCAACATATAGCGAGAGGCTTTGGTATGGATATATAGTTACATAATATATCAGTCAACAATACAATACAATACAAGCATACGTACATAAACATACTCATTTGTATCGGCTAGAAATATATGTCATTATATGAAATGGTTCCAACTTCTAATAGGTTTCACATACAATTTTTACAAATATTTTTTATTCTATATGTACATATATGTCATATATAGAAATTCAGTATATGTGCATATATTACATTTGTGTATGGGTCAGAATTGGAGAAAGCAAATCTATTTCCACCCCACTGAAATCATCATGAAGTCACATCATTCATCCATCCATCCATCCATCCATCCATCCATCCATCCATCCATCCATTCATCCATCCATCCATTCATCCATCCATCCCACAGAGGAAAGTCTGTAAAAGTGAGGGTTGGAATGTAGATCGACTAGACAGAAAGATACATAAAAAAGCACCAACCTGTGTCGCTAAATTGCATAATGCATGTTTTCTATTGTAAAACTTGCCTGGCAGAACTGAAAAAAACTATGAGTACTTAATATATGGAGAACATATGTAAATCAAGGTTAGAAAACATTACCTTGAAGCTGAGAATACAGCCAATGAAGAGCAACACCATGAGGACCAAGCACACATTACTGAGGGCGGCAATCTCCTCTTTGTAGGGGAAGTTATCAGGCTGCACAGGAGTCAGAAAAAGCACAACCAATGAGCAGCAGAGTTCATTACTGCAGAGTCCTGTACTGTCTCCTCAGACAGTACAGGCAGCTGCAGCCATACATTGATGATGATATGTGAAATGATAAATAGCTTTGTGAATCACAAAAGAGTCAATATCCTGCTGTTACATGTCACTAACTTCACTTTAAGAGGAAAACACTTGAGGTTTCTCACCAGTTGCTGCAGGTAGTCCTGTATCGTGTTTGGGTAAACCACAATGCTCACAGCAACCAGGGTGTTGAGAGCAAAGTCAAATATTTGGTAGCAGAAAAATGGGATGATCCAAGCAGCACGCAGCTGAAACAGAGATATTTATTGTAGGCATTTAGGATAGGCTGATATATTTATCTGAGAACAGAGAATCAAGCTGAGCTCTTTAACCAACACTGTGGACATCAATCCTCAAACTGGGTCACAAGGAGATTACGGTGTGTTTAAAATGATGAAACAGGAGGGACGGCACTTGGATTTTTTTTATGTTTTCAAAGACTGCAAAAATAGTTGTGTGTGGAAGTGTGTATGGCAATAGACTAACAACATTAAAAAAAAAAAGTTTTAAAAGTCATTAATGTTTCACAACACGAATATTTGAAGGTTCTCTGATTTCCACTCTAATACAATCAGTGTCTAATTGTACAGTACATTTGTTTTAATATGCAGCATTGTTTAAGTATGAACAGAAAATCAAATAAATCATGAGTTTACCTTGTATGCACCATATGTTGCCATCCCACATATAAGAATCATCAGCAGAGAGATGGCTGAGGCAATGCACATGTCTGAAGCAGCAAGAAAAGCAAAGTTAGAAATACAAACTACACTGGTTTTTATTGTCACTGTTTATTTCAGCCGGTGTAAGGTCACTTTGGTTGAGACACATTCAATTCCAAATCAAATTTCTGAAAATGTTTACAACATCAAGTCCAGCTGATCTGGGGAAACCAAACTGTGAGCAGAAGATAAATGACATGCTGCATCTGTCAGCCAGACAAGGAATTAACCTCTGCTCTGTGATTCGCTTCATGTCAGCCTGACCTCATATCAACTCAACATAACATAACAGAACTAATCATTCAGTTACATAAGGATAGCACCAGGCTAAACCAAAATACATGTGGCTGTACCAGGAAAAACAGGGAATTTAATAGAAGAACATTTCTCTGTCCTCTGACACATTAAACTGCCATAAACAGTTCTATTTAAACTGACAGTGAATATTTTGCAGCTTTGAGTCATAGTATGAATCACATTTGCTCATGAAGGCATTTGAAAGTGTATAGAGAGGCAATATATTTAGTTTAATTTAGCAGAATATGATGAGGGCAAAGGGAATCACACCTATGGCAAATCAAACAGCAATTACTTAAACAAACAGCAAGCCCCAAAATCCATTAAAAGCTAAAAGAAATAAGGTGTAAACACAACATTTAAATACCTTTTAACTCTTAAGTTAATAAGGCAAACTTGGTAGCAAAATATACACATCCACCAGATACAACATTAGCATTCATTTTGAATTATGTTTCTGGTCACCAGTTGAGAGTAAGTCCGATATTAATTCTCCTTTTAGCTCTGTTTTTAGTCTCCGCTAAATCCAGAGGGAGTTCACTTTTGCTGCCAAATGCTAGTGAGCTAGTTACTAACTTTGCTGTTTGGTGCTGAGCAGGTAGTGTGCAGAGGGTTTACAAAACGTTGCGAGATTAGTTTATTTAAGTATAAAGACTGGAAGCAGGGGAAACAGCTAGCTTGGCTCTGCACAAAGATAACTTATTATCACATAACACCTATTTGGACACAAAAAGAAATATAACAATAACAATTTGTAGTTTTATGGGGAGTTATGCACTGTAACTATTTCTTTTCAAATGGAACCTGTTTATTAGTGAGTTTTATAAATGTTAATTGGTGTATTTATGAATTTTTGTGAGAGACATGCTAGCTGTTAGCTCCTGTTTCCAGTCTTTATGCTAGCTAAGCTAAGCTAATTGACTCCCAACTTCAGTTCTGTATTTAACACGAAGACGAAGATGAGAGTGATATTGATCTTCTCATTTACCTCAGCACAAATATATTTCCTAAAATGTCAAACTGTTGTTTTATAACTGAACATTTTGTTCTTTCAGTGTTCAGAGTAACATAATAAAGTAGAAATTGCCTGGTGGGCTTATCTTTTCATCCTCTCTATCTCACAGCTCACTGTCCTGCTTTGAAGATTTGATGCCCTAACTAGCTGCAGCACAGGCTTTGATGCTGCTCTGAATTTTATTTTTGAGCCAATGCACCAAAAATAATAACTAGTGCCTTTGTCAACAAAGACCCAGTATCAAAGATATGCTAAGTTATTTGGCAGGGAAGATGTCTATAATACGAGGCCTAAAAACACTTTTAGTTCGTTATTAGATTTATTTTTCAATTAAATTAGCAGCATATTTCCAACCCATATGGACTAACAGAAGTTTAGAAATTTCAAAACCCCACAGCAGCTGTCACTTCAGCTTGTTGTCAGATCTGACCATTCAAAACTGCTCAACAACATTACAGTGTTCTTCATCACCATGAGAAGTCTTTTTTGCTCCTAATGTGTGTGTGTGTGTGTGTGTGTGTGTGTGTGTGTGTGTGTGTTAATGACAGCAGCTGGCCAAGCCTGCTATTATGGATCATAGGACGCCTTAATCCCCTGGAGCTGGGACAATACAGTCATTCCCAATCGGAGGTTACGAGCAGCATACACTGAACCTCCAGTCAGACTGTTCCAGTGTACACCTGGTCTGTTAAGAAGGCTTTTCAAATGCCCTGCACAGATGGACATTAGGCTTGCATGTCTGTGGCTTTGGGTGTTTGATTTAAAAAGACGTGCTGACTGCCGTCTAGACAAACGTGTGAGGTCCCTCCAACAACACAATAAATCATTCTATTAGTCAGCTGACAAGCTTATTGAGCCTATCACCACACAAGCAGAGATTAAGTCATCTGTCACAGTCAATTTTAAGACATGCAGGTAGAATGGAAACAACACAGAGGCCAATGGGGTTATCTTAGAGAACACAAACAAGCTGACTAAATTTAAATATGTACAACATAATCATAAAGTATATCCTCATACTAAAATCATAACAACTCCACTGACAGTGTCTCTGGTATTCTGCTCTCCCTAAACCGGTTTATAGCTCTGTGAGACTACCTGCGGGACATTTACTGTAAAGTTGTTAAGCACCAGCCTTCTGGGCTACTTACTGGCATCATCCATGACGTCCAGGTCATTAGCCAACTCAGCACTGGTCAGGTGATACTGTTCAGGATCACTGAGTGCTGTGAGCAGGATGAGTAACACCACGGCATTGATGAGCTTAGGGAGAGAGGACATATGGGCAGATAAAGGCAACAATATGGACAGACGGATAGTGGAGCAGGAGAAAGAAAAAGGGCAGATACTGACCGTAATCTGACATGTTAAACTCTCTAAACCTGTCACCTGGTATATAATGGATTCACCTTAATAAGCTGCAGAGTAAAAAAGGAAACACGTTTCTATAAACAGTGACTGTAGAAATCTATAAATGATAAATTAAACTTTATCCCTAAAAAGAGTGCAGCTATATAGATTTAATTACAAAGCTACAGTAAAACTTTTAAGTCCAGGCACATACATATGCCTTTGTTTTGGTCTGGCTGGCGCAACTCATTATGCAGATGACTCATACATCCCCACTGATCAGGTGAATGCAATGGAAAATTCTTTGCAGTCAATAGGCAGCATAACACAAAAACCTGCTACCTGAAGAGGCCCACTGCTAATTTATTCATAGGGAGCAGAGAGAGGATTTTTCCACATGTGGTGTTTGGTTTAATTAACCCCTTCCTGTACATTCAGTTCAACAAACTGGTGCAATGAGCACAGCTGACAATTCATGAAGATTTAATAGTGGAAAAAAAGGGTACATACATTTTCTGGTTTTCATTTAGCTCAATATTTTGAAAATCAATGTGGAGGAGGAAAAACCTACCTAAAACTTATAATGTTGATATTTATTCACAGATCCCTTGTATAGAGACCTCTACAAGTCAAGTATACCTCAATACTTCAAGTATAACAAACTGATAAAGTCTGCTAGAGTATGGTCCTTACGTAAAGTAATTCAGTTCTTTACTGAAAGTAAGAATTTGGATATTAATGGAATTAAATAAAATAAATAATGTAATAAAATAAAACCCAGCATTATCATAAAATCCCCCATACATGATGATGAGGTCATGTTTTCCCTAGTGATGATGTTTCTGGATGTCTACCTGGATCCAGTGAGTGACAAACTATAGGCGGTGCTCACCATGTACCAGACCCCCAGGATGATGGTTCCTGTGCGGACATGGCAGCACAGACAGCAGCTTGTGGAGTACCAGCGGTCCCACGGGGAGATCATCATCTTGTCTTGCTTTATCACAAATGCTCGACCATCTAGAAACAACGGCGGTGTTTGTACAGGGGGAGACCCCGATTCTCCAGGGAACGTCCGCTGAGCGTCGGTGCTTGCCGAGGAATGACGAACGGGAACCGACTGTCTCTGACCTGACCGTTTCTTATCACTGACAGCAGCTTAATGCAACCGAGCGGCCAGCGTCAAGACAGAGTCAGGTAAAAGTGTAACGTCCGGTTTCAAAATAAATCACTAATACTGAATTTTTTTCTGACGTTTTTTTAGTATGAAGTATAACAATTAAGTTTTAAGGGGAATATTTTAAGCAAAAAGCACTGTCTCTTACCTCAGTTATTTCCGATTTCCAGCACAAAATGGATGATACAAGTTCGTTTTCCGTTCACCCAACATTGAAGCAGTGCATGTATAAAATAATATATATAACGATCGTTAATGTAACGCTAATTAACGGTTAATAGAACACCTTTAAAGCGGAGTGATACATGTAGTTAAAAGTCCCAGTGCTGTTATACTCTATATCAGCAGACAGTCTCTATACAAGGGCTCTGTATATCAACACTCATGGAATGTCTCTCGTCCAATCAAATTACTTGGTCGGGAACTAACTGTCATTAAGTCACTATGCAATCTCACTGCTGAGCACCACACACTGTAAATCCCTGTAGGAATATTAATATTAGTTATGCCAACTAAAATATTTTGTAGCCTACACTAGATGTATATTTCCTTGTGGCTGTATTGCTGTAACTGTCCTTTTGTCTTGGTATCTCTATTTCCTCTGCCAATGTTTACCTCACTCAACAGAATGTTTTTCCTTTTAATTTTATTTCATTTATTCAGTCATACATGTGACAGTTTATGTATTGTTTATATATTGTTGTTCCACTAACATTCTAATAAATTGAAACATAAAATATCTGGATGTCTTAGTGGACACCATTCAAATTATGACAACTCATAAATATACACTTCAAGAAGACAGGTGCAATCAATCAATCAATCCTGCAAAATTATGATTTCTCCTGTAGATGGCATCACAGCAACAGGACACATCTGGTGCAATTTGTTCAATAAAGTCATTTTGAAAGGTGTAAATAAGGTATTTATGTGACAGAAAATGTGTAAATAATGAGAAGCTTCATTGAAGATGTTTTTATCGACCTATTAAAATCTATCTCATTTCTTTTCTTTTTAACTGGTTGCAAAATGCAAAATGTCACACCAGGCCATCAAAGGCTCTGTGCATCTGTAAAAAAAAAAATAGATAGATAAACCTCAACCCTCTATACACAATGAAAACCCTAACTGCTCGATACTACGCTATTATTTTGATGACTAAAAGTTCCTGCTTCCGGTCTTATTCTAGTACCCCTGCCAACTTGGCAGTCGTCCTGCTGATTATAAACACCGGAGCATGTGACGGAATAGATAGGATCAAATCTGATGACGTAACCTGTCATTTCTAGAAAGTTATTGAGAAGAGGATTAAATACATTAGAAATTACAGGTAGTGTCTTTTCACAGCATTGTGGTGTTGTTTTTCCCTCTGAAAAAAACAGTAACTTCTTCTCAAGGTATTTTGCCACAGTACTCCCTGCTTTTAGTCCCAATATAAAACACCCTGAGTGAATTTTGTTTTGTAATTTCCACCACAGTGAATTTGATTGAACGAGAGGCATTCCATATATATGAGAATGAGAGAGAGAGAGACTGGGACTTTTAACTACATGTATCGTTCCGCTTTGCAGGTGTTCTATTAGCCGTTGATTAGCGTTACATGAACAGTCGTTACCCAGCTTAGATTCGATGAATATATTTTCAGAAATAACACTTGAATTAAATGGCATATGGTCATCAGAAGATGATAAAGGGAAGGAAAGAAGCCTGGATACTTGTATGACATCGTCAGGTCAGGAAAATGTTTATCAGTTGCTTAGCAACAGTCCAGTACAGTCGTGGAACTATTTGTTTTGGCGTAGCCAAATAAATGAGATAGATAGATAGATAGATAGATAGATAGATAGATAGATAGATAGATAGATAGATAGATAGATAGATAGATAGATAGATAGATAGATAGTTTATCCCCTAGGGGAAATTAATGCGTCCATTAGCTCATTGTTGATAATAATAAAAACAGTTAACAAATAAACAATAATAATTAGATTAATTCACTTTCTTTGGCTGAGGTGTTGTATAGCCTGATGGCAGTGGGCACAAAGGATCTCCTGAACCTCTCTGTTCTGCAGCGTAGTGAGATGAGACATTTGCTGCAGCTGTAACTGCTTCTGTCCTGCCAGAATGTTGTGGAATGGTTGGTATTGTCCAACATGAATAATAATGAAATAAAAAAAAATCACAATCTGCTGTTGCTTATTAGTATCAACTAATCTGGCGCTAGCAGACACGATATCACACGGTGGTGGTTTGTTGAGCAAAAAACAGTTATATAAAGAAGCCCAAATATAGAAAAACTGGCCTTTATTTAGTCTTTTTACATATGGCTTTAGCTTTTCTTTTATTACAAACAGGTTTTACAAAAGGTTCTGAAGACTTCCAATTCAACCACAGGTGGAAAATCGTGGAGAGGTTGATGACACTGCAATTGTACACCTATGATCAGAGGCTCCCACACGGCTCCAGCCACAAAGCAGTCACAGATAGTAAAAACAGCAAGGACACAGTTGTTGACACACTGCAGTACAATGTCAGACAAGGGGACAAACCAGATGGACTGAGTTAATGAAATGTTGTAGTCACACATTATAATGCAAAAATACAGAGCAGACATGATTCCCTTTTCTGCACATAATGATGCTCATGTCTCATTTATGTCACAAATGTTTACACTCTACTGAGCTATAACCATTGACGTGAAATAAACGTTTGATCTCTGCACTCCTCACCCATCAGTGCTCGCTGTGCCATCACGGCTCACAAATGTCAGAGCAAAAATAAAAGACTGCAAAGCGAAGGCCAGTTCAACATTATGGCCCAGTGCAGTGACCTGATGCATGTCGACAGTTCTCACTCTCTACACCTTTAAAAACTCCAGCTGTTAGCCACCCCAACATCAAGTCTCTAAACATGATCAGTATTTTCTACATGTCTAATTACTACAATACAGCTCCTTCAGTTATTTGATTCAGTAGAATTAGAAGACAGAATCAAAGTATCAAATGCATACTTAAAAATCATTAACACCGCATCACATTAGATTGCACTGCATCTAGGTTCAGTTTTCAACGATCCACCAACTGACACTCGACGTGTATAAAAGTTGTTTTCATTTTCCAGACAGGTTTTAAGGTAAGTTCGTCATGAAGACCTTAGTTCAAAGTTCTTGTCACAAAAGGTGTTGCATAAACAGGATATGAAGTCTTTTGCATACAGAAATCTGCAGAGTGGACTCGATCTCATGTCTCTCTCCTTGCCTTCTTCTTCTTTGCTGGTTTGGGCGCTTGGCTCTCCTCAGGTTTTTCTGTAGAAACACAAAGAGGTAGAAGGAGGTCAGTCATACAAGTCTAAATGTGATTCATTGTTTTCATTAGAAAGGTCACATCTCACTTGGGATTACTGCTAAGAATAGATTTAATGATTTTAACTGGGTGCAAGTCTTAATATAAATGTTAGGTAGTGTGATGAGTGTTGAGAGGTAATGTCTGTCCTATGTATTCTTTCACTTACATCTAAACCTTGCATGACAGCTGACAAGATGATGCACAGTTAACAAATAAACACACCTTTGAGAAATGTAATAAACCTGCTCCCAGCACACAAACATAGGTTGGAGATATGGTAACAACATTCACCACATAAAAGTTAAACACAAATTTAACCAGATAAAAAGAAGGCCATTCACCTCTGAGACTGACATATCTGGCAACAATGAAGGAGAGTCAGTGATGTGATATCTTATTAAATATACACTAAACTTTTGCTAGTTTAAGTCGCTGGCTGCCATGAAAATGAAAACTGTTGGAACCACTGTCAATCCCACAAGGCAACAAGTAACAGCAACTTTTCATCTGAATCGACCGACATAGTTTTGCACTGTAATACCTGATAGACAACATATACCACTTATGCTGGACTTTTAATAAATAGAAAATATTCACAATATAAATTACAATTACTATTTCAGTCAGAATAGTAACAATTAATTTCCACCAGATGGTTCAGTGCAGTGCTCAGGCAGCTTTTTACAACTGACTGTCTAATGTGCTCACTTTGTTGGACTGGAGCAGGAAGGCTATTCTGCTTGGCAGTGGGCTCTCCATCAACGGGCTTCTGTGGCACTTGTGTGACGGGGGGTTTTGAGGATATGTTGTCCTTCACTTGTCGCTCCACCCTCGCCTAAAAGAAAGAGCAAAACAGTTTTGATGACTGCAGCTAAGAGAAGGAGTTTAAAAAAACAAATCAGCACAAATAATGCTAAAACTGAACAAGGAAAATGTATGCTTTCATCATTAAACTAGACTGCTTAATGTTTAATATGACTAGACAGCAAGAGTTCTGTGGTTCATGAAGAGAAACACTTTGATTAAATCATTTGCATTAAATATTAGTTCCACTGACCTCAACAGCAGCTGCTTTGACAGGCTGGATGGCAGCAACGTTCTCCTGACCAGGTGGCTGCTTCTTCACTGAGGCTGCAGGTGCTGCCTCCTTCTCTGGCTCCTCGCCCTTCACAGGACACAAGCTGAGTTTACATCTTAGAAATGTCCAATATTCAAACATGAAGATAGTAGAAAATTGTGTTTGTGTTTTTCTCCTCACTAGCAGTTACCTGGCCTGTTGCTCCTCCCTCCTCTGCAGCCTTCTTCTTCTTTTTCTTCTTCTTTTTAGTTTTAGATGTTCCATCAGAAGCAGTCTCTCCCTTGTCCTTTTCATCCTCATCATTGTCCTGAGGAAGATAAATGTATGAAATAAATACTCAGAGAGAAAGCAGGACAAAACAGAGCAGTGAACAAATCACAACATTTTAAGTCTTAACAATTCAGATTTATAGAATTTCCTACTTACTTGGCGCCATCTGGTGGTAATATAAAATATAACAATGGAGGACCGCAATGCATGGTGCTAGACCTACATTTACATTAATGATTATGAATTATAGCAGTGATATCTGTGTTTTCTATGCTGTATCAAGTCAAAATGTCTGCCATCAAATGAGTTTATTAAGCATGGTTTGTACACAACCATAGTCCTGGGAAGAGTCAAATCAGCAACTGTTAATGAACTGTGTGAGTGTATTGTGCATGTGTAGGGGTTGTAATATTGTTAAATAAAGAGCAAAACAACAAAAATGCCTGTGTATTCACTCTTTTGAGTCACTATTATGAGACACAGGTTGACAGTCAGGCGAAGAACCAGGACAGCTGCCCTGGGGCCTGAGCCCTGAGGAGTCATCAACTAGTAGGTTGTTATTTTTAAAACTTCCAGGTAACTCCCATAATGCTTATTTTTGCCTCAAGCCTGGATATATTTACAGCAGCTCTGATCAGCAGATTAACCTTGGCAGGCTCAGGGAGCGGCTGCTCCGGAGCAGGAGGGGCCACAGGAGTGGGCTCTTCATAGTTACCCCAGGCTTCAGAGGGGGCATTCCAGTCAGAGCTGGGGTCAACAGAACCACCATCTGGAAAAGACCACCAGAAAATAGTCAGAAGTGTAAAGGAGTGTCATAATTATGAAGTTACATAAACATTAAATGACAGTTTGAAAAAAAATTCCTTACTGAGCCCAGACCACTCATCATCCACTCTGGGCTGACTGAGCCAGGGCAGCTCGCTGACAGGGTGGGGCTCTACAAGAGACAAGAGACAGTGACTCAACCGGCTTGGCACATGTGATCCTTTGGGAAACTATGCCATCTAGTGGTGAGAGCTACTTGTCACATGATCCGTTTACTGTACACTTACCAGCAGCACCAACTCCCAGTCCAGTAAAAGACAGATTCAGCTCTGTTGTGGGCATCGCCCTGTCAATCACAGTCCACGACTCTGAAACATAGTTTTATAACAGTGACTTAGAAACTTTTACTGGTATCAATGTATTAATCAGTGTATCTCTAGTTCTAACACTGCAGCTGACAGAGGGGTTAACAGGCATTAACTGTTTTATGCCATAAAGTTTTAAAATATTACACAAGTGTGTGTAGGGTTCAACAACTAAGCAGTTAAGTAATAGAGATAAAAGTTTTTACCATCGATGTCTGCTCTCCACAGTGACACTGGTTCTCTGCTGGTAGTCCACGGGCCTGACTTCGGAGCAACACTATGAGCAGGAACCTTGACTGCCATATCAGTCACACCAGCAGTCTTTGCTGCCACCTCTCTGTTGTTAACTAAAACCAAGAGAGAAACATTTGACACTAAGCCAGAATAAACACAGTTCAGGTTGGCAACACATAATAAATAATGATAGAGTTTATTCATGTAGCACTTATCAAAAATCAGAGATTACAAAGTGCTTCACAAGGATAAAACAAAACAAGCAAACACTTTACTCAAAATGAAAACACACAAATGAGAAAATGTAAAAATGTGTGAAATATTTAAAGGAGACTTTTACTTTAAACTGTGTAAAAGAAATTTGTTTTTAGAAGTGATTTAAAAGAAGATACCTATTTTTCAAGTCTAAGCAGGTTGTTCTGGAGTTGTGGTGCCCTGACAGAAAAAGCTCTCTCCCCTTTAGTCTTACATCTTGACATAGGAACTAGCAACAGGTTCCTGTCTGAGGACCTCAGACTACATGCAGGTTGATGAGAGGCAATTCATTCAGAAATACAGTCTGGGGCCATGAAGTGCTTTAAAAATTGATTCTGTAATGGACTGGTAGCCAGTGTAGAGACCTTAGGAGGGGAGTAATATGATCTCTTTTCTTAGTTCTTGTTAGTAGGCTGCTGTATTTTGTACTATTTGAAGTCTATGAATTGATTTATGGCAGTTACGAGACCATTACAGTAATCTAATTGTGAGGAAATAAAAGCATGTATGACGGTTTCTGTGTCTCTGAATCTCAGATATTAACAGATAGAAGGAGGATTGTACTATCTTACTGAAGTGAGTCTCAAAACTAATTAACATCTTATACCGGAGTTTCCAGTGAAGCATGTGAACCTTTGATTTACTACGACTACAAAGATGATATCAGTAGTTGGGTAATCTTTCTGAATTGGTAATCAGTCAAAGGCTGAAGCATTTTCCGCTGATAATTACCTTGAGATACAGCAGCCTCCACCTTCTCCGCCTTCACTTTGGCAGATTCTCCTGAGAACAAAGGATGAGAAGGTCAAACTATGCCAAGAACACCATCCACATGGGAGAAGAGAGCACATACACCTCAGCTCTAACACTTAAAGGAAAGCTCACTCGAGACTCAATTCAATTCCCTTAATGCTCGTTTATATAGCCTGTCCTGTCAACAAGAGACCGTGTGAATGCAACAACAGCCTATACAGATCTCTCTCTCTCTAGATGCCAAATTAGGCTGTTTATCCAAGATGGTCGGGAGATTTTGTGCCTTGTGTGCATGTCTACAAGTAAAAAAGACAAGACAGTTGCAAAATCCCTCCCTCTTCTCAATTTCAAAACTCCTCAAAACAAGCAAATCACAACCTAAATTTGAAAATATACAAGATTAAAGCAACCACCTTTTTTCTTCTTCTGGTTTGCAGTTGCGGGGGCTGCAGAGGCCTTGGGCTGCTCAGGGGGAGTGCTCACGGGTGTGTCCCCTCCGCCAGGACTGGCTGAGCCATCACTAGAACTTTTGTCCTTCTTGCGTTGTTCACGCCTCTCCTTGTTGCTGACCTTGGTCTCCCATGTGCCTGAAAAGTAACATTGTAAGGAATTAGTTTCATAACACTGCAAGGCTTCATTGTGGGATTAGTGAGGAAATATGGTATGGATTAGGCAGGATGAAGGAATACATGCAGAAACTGTTCAAACAAACACCAAATATACTTTGCTGAGAAAAAGAGCTTCGGGGTGGTCCTAATCTACCAGCCTGAGACTGGCAGAATAAATCAAGTTTTAACCAAAGCCACATTCAAATTCATTACAACATTAGTGCAGAAGTTAGTCACTTGCTATGTGGTGCAATGGTCTTGTTACTGAAAATGGTGGCTTAATAACAAAGAAAAATTAATCAAAATAGACCTCCTAAAATAATTGAGGTTATACTCTGTCATCACCTTGACCAAACAACTTAATTATGACACAGAGTCATAATATTATTTCACCTTCTTCTGGTTCTTTGCCATCTGCAGTCACGGTCTTGGCCTCCTTTACAGCCTGTTTGGCCTTCTTCTTGGACTTCTTTACCTGGAAGAGGATACATAGTGGGCATAGAGTAGAAATGAAAGCCAATGTACCTGAAAAAAAGCACTTGGAACTGTGTTTATTTAAATAAGGGAAGTGCTACTGTGGAGATACTATGCACCACAAATGTCTTCACCTCCAAGAACAGCAACTGGGCAAGGGACCCCACGCTCACTGAACCGTGGCCAGTCAATCAAATCAGCATGCTCAAGCCTCATCTATTTATAAGTGAAACTACACCCAAGACTCTCTCTAAATCGGTTACATGCCTCTTTTGTAAGCACCATTTCAATCTCTTGATGTCTGCACAATTACATATTCTGATTCCAGCATCTTTAGGACCACAGTTTGGGTTATTTTGTGGTATACAGATGAAAGGCTGTTCTGTTCTGTTCTGTACTGTTGTTCTAAGTCAGGAGCCATCCTCAAGGATTTTGCTGCATCTGCAAGTTAAAAACTGTAACCTAACACTCGCAGCTGGCCCGGTAACATCATTGCAGGGTGACAGTGAGAAAACGTGGCGTTTTCTCAGCAGCGTTTTAATGAAGGAGATGCCAAAGATAATGATATAACTCAAGCAATGGCATTTAGGTGCAACCATTTACAAACACAACCAAGGAACATGCATCACAATGGACACAAAAAATATGTTTAGGTCACACCACCATATTGTGGTGAATGTGCTACCATGTGTCTTTGGGAGAGCAAATTACCTCTGCAACCTTTTCAGCCTTGACTTCTGGTGGCAGCGGCTGGTGATGTGGCACTATCTCTTCCGATACTATGGCTTCTTCCTGTGGTTCAGCAACAGCTCTCCCATTTGGCTGGGCTTTCTGTAAAGAACATGTAAAGATAAAATGTAGAGGGCCGTTACAACCTCCAGTTATGTTACAGTCAATATATTTAACGCCACCAAAGGCTAGCATAGCCAACTTGGACACCAGCCTGAGGTGCAAGTATGCAAGCTAGCTTCAGTTGTCAATGAGATGCTAGCATGACAGCTAGCCTTGCTAACGGTATGGTTTTCAAGCTGGGAGAGGGTGTAGACTGGTTTCGTTTACGTACCTTTTCTGCTTTCTTCTTCTTTTTCTTCGGCTCCTCAGATTTGACAGGTTTACTGACACCGCGCTTTATTTCAATGCCGTCGTCCACAGGGCTTACAGTGGGTCGTTTCTTGAAAAGAGTCCGGCAGACTGAGGCCCACAGAACGACCATCAGCACCAGTCCGGTACATGCCGCTAAGAGGATCACCCATGGCGGAATAAGCTCAGGCTTCAGTCCCAAATCCACGCCGAACTCGGAGCGGAGCAGCTGCAGGCCTTTGGACAACAGTTCATTCAGACGAGTTGTAAGCAGCTTGACCTGCTGAGAGGCCGCGTCCTGCCACTGCTCCATTTGCATTGATTTTCAAACAACAGACAGATTAGTCACGCTTTGCTTGCCGCTATTAGCTGCGCTAGCCTGCAGTGCTAGCTAAAAATAACGGAACGACTTCGACATGATGGAAAACACTATATTCACCCCCTCCTCCACCAGAAACATCGGCCTTGTCAGGCAGCTAGCTAGCTAAATCCTGTAAAGGCTGCAGCAATAAAACAAGTTAGCTAACTAGCCAGCAGGCTAGCTGATATCATCGCAAGATAGTATGCCACCGTTAACTGACCACCACAATGCATCTACTGTGACCGCGAATAAGGCAGGTTCACCTCATATGGCTCCGTCTGACTGGAGGAGAAACGCTGCCTTCACTGTCGGTTGTAAATCGGAAAATCGAGCGTGTAAGTCACAATTGCGTATCGTAGCAGTCTATGGCTAATCACCAAAGAACATTTTATACACTATGTATTATTTTCATACCTATTGCATTTTTGAAGGCAACATATTTACTATTTGTCTCATTGATATATTAAGGAGGACTATGCTCAAGATAAAGCAGTGCTTTTATTTACTTATATTTGTTGGTCCACATTTCTTATCAGTTGTTTCCAAAGTGCCATAAGCCCAACAAATTCATTACTATCAATATTAAAAAGTTATCAATTTATAACTAACTATCAACTTAGCCGGGTTAACTAAATTCCGTTCTTCACAAATAGTTGTGAAGGCAACAAAAACGGGCCGTGACAGCTCCAATGAGATGGGCGGGGAAACTATTTGTCCCATTCTGATTGGCCAAAATCCTCGGTTCAAAAAATGTTCCAGTCTATTTTGTCAGAGTATGACATTTGCTCTATTTTCCAACTGTATCATTTACTCTGTAAGATTTTTCTTCTACATTTGATATTTTTTGTCTATATAGTGCAAATTACAAAAACTTCCTTGATCTACAAATCCACAGCAAAATAGGAAACACTATTAACAAAATACTACTACTAATAATAATGATAGTACAGTAGTTATTATCCAGTTGCCTATGGAGGGCAGGTGTGTAGCAGGTCAAAATTAGCCTTTAACATCTATATTTGGAGATCAAACTTGTAGAATGGGAATTTATAAAACTCAGCAAAACAAAGCCAGTGTGTGGCATTGATGCTGAATTTCAAGGTGTGGTTCTGTTGATTAATCTATAAAGTTTAATCTGAAAAGTTTATACTTGTAATATATTTTCTGAAAATATACACAACTTCTACTTCATTATTTATTGCACTTACACTTGATTCTGAAGGTCTGTTTTGGTATACAAGGGCGGAATAGATTTGACAAAGATGTATGGTGAGATTCACAAGATATTCTGTGATTTTATTCAAAGCATAAATAAAAACATTGAGTCAAGAATTTTCATTACACCACCTTCCTCACACACCAATTGAAAAAAAAAAAAAAAAAAAAAAAAAAAAGACTGGATCAATTTATTTGCATCCAAGTTTATTTTGAAATTCCCTACTCCCCCTGTACAAGAAAAAAAGGACTTTCCACAAAGGCAGCAGTGAACTGTCAGTGATAGTACTTTTCTAGGGAAGGAAAAAACTTATAATCACAGTGTGTCTTCTTTTCTTCTTTTAAATACTTCTACTGCTGTCATCTTTGGCTGGGTTTCGGCAGACAGCTTTCTGTCAAACCAAATTCCTGGGAAGCAAAGGTTTAAGCCAATAGAGCAGAGCTGTGGGCTTTACATTTTACAGTGCCAATGCAGGAATGTTCTGGACTGTATACCTCTTCATTAACACAAAAGAAAGAAAGCAATAAAAATTGAAATAAAAATAACAAGCTGTTTGTGTTTACAACACAAACAAATATTACCGCCTGGGGAGATAGCGACAGTATGTCGAATTTCATAAAATTGTATAGACAAAAAATAAATCTACAAAAATGGAGCTAGGTAAATATTACACAACAGTAAACATGTTTTTTTTCCTTTTTTAAACTCTTCTGTTGAACCTCTACACAAAACCAAAATTCTTGGTCTTAATGGCTAGCAGGAGTTTCTGTTTGAGTATCTGTTTTGAAGAATAGAGTGGCACGTAGAGACGTGAAATGCAAGTATTGGCTGTGGGGAGGTGCTGGTCATCTGGAGGCCGGATGGTGATGGAGGGCATTGGCTGGAAGCCTTCCTCGCTGGCTGGAAGAGACGGGCTGGACGTCCAGAAGTACACCTGAGGAGGAACATAATTAGTCACATTAGTTACTGCTCTATTTGATTTCAGAAACATTTGACTGATATTATTGAATATGTTCTCGCTCTTTGGTGTTCAATGCTGCCACAACTCTACTACTCATCTTTCCATTGAAAGAGAAATGCATCACTTAAAAAATTCACAGACTCTGTACAAGACCATGCTCCCACTCCGTCACATTTATGTCACCATATTTTTGTATCAAGTATATTTTACTACATAAAAATGATGTTGGAGCCTATAAAAAGACATTGAATTCACTTCTATCATCAGTCTTTAGCACTCAATAAATTTAGGTGACACTGAGAGCAAAGGCAAGAAAGACAGAGCCTGAAGAAAGAATGAGAAGAGAAATTAAACAGAGAACTGAAACTTAAATTACAAATACCAAACTGCTCCTGTACTGCTCTCAATTTTAACATCCTGAATTTAAAGCTACAAAAGGTGCAACCATTACATACTGTAGTGGGGGTCTTGTGTAAGATGGCTATGCATTAACATGCTGCCAATGTACCCGGACTTGGAAAAGTCTTAAAACTGCGGTAGGGGTTCCTCAAAGTCACCAAACCAGACCAAAGTGGTCTTCACTGTTTAGCTGCAGCCGCAGGTCAGCTGAGGGAATCAGAAAGCAGCGTAATACAGTGCGCTCCGTAGTGCGCTTGTGTGTAGGAATACAGTAATTCAGTGGTTGAAAAAATGTGGTGCCAAGGAAAGGTTTGTTTTCACAGGGACATAAAGCACTGAAAATATTCTACACGAAATGTACATTTAAACGGATATTGGATTGTTTCAGTGGACATCTTTTAAAACTTTTCCCCCCCGGTCAGCTTTCCTGACTGGGACTGCGCTCATCATAATCTGCTGTAGGTAATGTTCTGACTATATATGACTACCTCACACAGCCCTCAAACACTCAAACTATCCCTTTAAGTCTATTTTGAGCCCATTGTAATGTGCCAAACATTTGTAACTGACCATGTTGAATATTGAATTGGCCAGTTTTTGTTTTTGAAGTACAGACAGGTGACAGGTGATAAAAAAAAAACAACATAGTGTCTTAGTAAAGTTTTAGGCCACAGTTTCAATACTCCATGACCTTGATTCTATAAGTCTCTAAACTTTACTGGTGGGATGAACACCATTCTTCCAAAACATATTCTGTCATTTGGTGTTTTAATGATAGTGGTGGAGAGCGCTGTCCAACACATCGGTCTAAAATCTCCCATAGGTGTTCAGTTGGGATGACATCTGATGACTGTGGTGGTCACGGCATATGATCTTCCTTTTCATACATACAAACCATTCAGTGACCCCTCGTGCCCTATGGATGTGGGCACTGTCATTCTGTTTCTCTACTAATTTTTCAGGTGTTTTTCATTTACAATGAAAAAGAGACTTACCAGATCTTGCCTCTCAGTCATGCTCATCTTCTCCACTATGGACCAAAACCAGCGTTTAAACTGCAGTAGTTTGTCTGCATTTTCCCCTGTTGGATGAAGAACAAATCATTGCTCACTTTATTGCATCAAAAACAAAATAAATCTTTCATTACTGAGAAAACACAGGAAACAGAGACAGGACAGGAAAATGGGACAGATTCAAATAGAGCAGAGAAGTTCCAGACAGAGCAACCATACCAGATTCATCATTGAAAGAGGTGAAGCTGATGAGCATCTGGACATTGACTTCTCCACAGCCATTGACCAGCAGCCTGAAGTCCTCAGCCGTCAGGTCCTCAAGGGCGTTCTTAGGAAGAACATCCAGCAAACCCTTCCTCATTGCCTAACAGACACGACCCAGAATCCGAGTTAAGACACATTTTGGTAACTGACAAAACATTTGTCTGTGTTTATTAAAATAAATTAAATAAAACAGACACTGAGTTCTCAGTTTGGTGTTTTACTTACATGGAGAGGCTGCTCAGCTACCACCAGCATTCTGTGCTCTGCGTACTTCCTCACATACTCGTACACGTTGAGGGGAGTTACTGGCATATTAACCCCACCTGACAGAAGCTCCACCTGAACCAGAAGAAGGCAGAAGAATGAGGCGTCAAACAATCACATTGTTAATGACAAACATATCCATCGGAAATTCTTCCAGTGTGGTATTGAGACTATTCAGATTCTGCTATCAAAATCTGAACCTCAACAGATTCAGTTATGCATTTAAGATATATGACTGAAACAGAAAAATCAAAACAAATCACAGAGGTCGAGTTCCCTCATAAATTACTGCATTATGGGCCATATGCAAATGCAGTCTTCTGCTCAATCTTTTTTCTTAACATTTGCGGCTAAAATCTATAATTGGGGGCACAATAACAATGTAGTCCATCACCTGTCCAGCCCCTTCCTCTTTACAGAGGTCAATGGCAAAGGCCAAGTCCATGGCAGCAAATACTGCATCTGCTTCGCCAGCTTGCGAATGGCGGATCAGCTGCCGCAGGCTCTCATACATGACTGGGTCAAAGAATGCAAAGTCATGCCAGTTCACCTGCAGTAACAAACATAAGTATGTTTAGCAACTTCAGTCTGAAAAGAACCAACAACATGGAGCAGGGTTCAGCTACAGGTGCAGAAATATATTATAAAACCTACCTTCCTCCCAAGCAGCACTTTGATGACATGTCTGTTCAACGTGATGGGACAGAGCTCATTCTGCAGCAGACACAACCCCAGTATTCTGGACAGAGAAGAAAATACAATATTCAACTTTTTGTTTCCCTTTTAACTCCAGCTTGAATATATTTACCCAAACTTTGTCCAGTTCTTTCATGTGACACAACAACAACAACCACAGTTCATTACCTGCCAATGTTACGGAAGCAGTTGAGTCTGGCCTCTGTGTTCTTGCCAGGCCGTGGGGAGTAGAAGCCTCGTTTTCCAGGTTGGTAGAAGAGAGGAGCGTTGTCGTCCCCGTCGTCTGGGTCATCCAGCTCCATGTCCACCACACTGCGGGTTGAACCATGACGCTTACGGTTCTCCTGCTGCTACAACCACACAAAAAAGAAGAGGGTAGGGCTGTGTTAAGTATGGCAAAGTAGCTGTTATGTAGGGCTGTTTATTTTTTCATTGTTATCATATGTCTCAAGGATT